TCTGACATTGAATAACAATAGACTTTAGATATTATTGTTTAACAATAGCTGCAAGGACATTCAACAAATAGACATCTCATATATATATCATATATATAAAACAGTAACCAGAAAATCTTAATAAATATTCAATTTTATGATGTTATAAAAAAAGTAATTTGCTATCATAAAATCTTGCTGAGCATAACAAAATGGAAGGTTTTTCTCTCTTACATCTCAACAATGAATAAATCTATATACATGTGTATATGAGGAGAAAAAAAAACAACATTGTAAAAACTGATGTACAAAAATAGAAATCAGAGTAATTTAGATTTGATGCATCTAAATAATAAGTTCTCTCTAACTAAAGAGTTACATGAGTTTATTCCATTCCATTTGGTTAAAATATATTGCCATGAACACACTGTCACAAGTGTGACTTAATAGGTGTACATTTGTATATTTGTTTGAACTTTATCTTTGCAATATGAAATCAAATTTTTCCAGAAATAAAACCTGTTTTAGAACTAACAAACTATCCTCCAATTAAAGCTACCTGTTATGGTAGGTGTTTAATGAAACCTTTCTAATTATATAAAAATCAATAAATTCATATTAACATCTGGTGAAACAAAAACCTGTTTTAGAATAATCTATATATTCAAAAATGGAAATTGTCTGATCATTAAAAAAAATACTTAGTTTAGATTAAAGATCAGGTAAATAATAAGAAATCAGTCATAATTGTTTAATAAACATCATGTCTTTGAACAAACAAACATTCCTGTGCTTTTAGATGTTTGAATTAATGTGTATATAATATTTTAACACATGGAAAATAAAAGGGGATATTGACCTTTTTGCACTAAACCCATGATATCTTGAACAATTCTTTGACTGAAAACCCTTTTTTCATCATTTATGTGGAATAAATGTATATCTTAAACAGTAAGGAAAAGAGATGTTTTTTTCCTGTCCAGCATTCTATATTCATTGTTCAAAAACTTAATTATGAGATCTGTCAATAAATACTATTTATAATTTATAAACAACACATTTTCCCCCAATAGCTGAAAAATATGTCATGTCAAATTCTATAATTTACCCTGAATTTCAGTTAAACAGTTTGAAACAATCAACACATGGTAAGAAAATAATATATTTAAATGTCATTTTAAGTTCAGAATATACCTTAAATTTTGACCAAAAATATTTGGTAGTAATGTTGAGGTCAGATACAATATGCCTAGCATATACGGTAGTAATAATTCAAAACCATTTTTTTGAGTCTATGCAGTAAAAATATGATATATATATCAATAAATTTAACAACAAATTCTATTTTTAAAACAATAGCACCGCATGCAGTGTTTGCGCAAATCTGTTAAAAATTCTAAAGTAAAAGGGGCATAACTCTAAAAGTATTCCTTTCAGAATCATACCCCTTGTCTAACAATTGCACCTTGTCATGATAAGGAAGTATTCCAAGTTTCATGTTGATAACTTTTAAAATAATAATGGGCTACATTTATGAACATGAAGACAATGACACGGCAATGATCATAAAAGCTCAACATTATCTTGGAAAAAGACAAGCTAAAAATGAAATGTTTAAATTACCTCCCTTTTGTCAAAAGTGTATAGACGTATTTCAAAATCACTTTTCCTTAAAAAAAATCAACAAATTATTTCCTAGATTAATTATCATATTGAAATATCTAAAATTAGATGCCACTTCAAACATTGTTTTCATAATATGATATTTTGTTTATAAACTTCAACACTTTGCTGTAAAAAACATAACAATCATAATCCATGATTATTATAATCAATTTATGATAATCATAAAGCAGCTATTATGGCACCACTTACCCAGGCAAAAATTGTACTACTGAACATGTAAAATGGTCTTGCCTTGTTTTAAAGATATACTATGCCCATCTTTGAGTTTAATATTTTTATAACAGAAATTATTGAAATCAATAGAATTCTTCTGAATCTGTCTCATTTGAATAAATAAAATGTGCAAACAATGTATGGGAAGCTGCATTCCCTATTACAGGTTAAGTAAAATTGATACCTTCTTAAAAGAAACAAAATTTGCCTGTTTTTTAAATGACACTATATATTCATATTGTGACCACTATAGTGTGTAGAGTTTAAAACATAACTTATGTGTGAAGTCAAAACATGTTTATCTTAAATTAACAAAAAAGACTCTGCAGCAATTTACAATATTTTTAAAACATCAAATTTGAGCATAGTATATCTTTAAGATTTAAACAGTTCTTTTGCAGATAAAAGGATTTCAACATCAAACAAGAAACATGGCAATGCCATGAAACCAGGTTTTCAATTATCACCATTGTAGATAAATATGTTGTATTTGAAATACAAATACAAGCAACAAACAATGTAACTATGTGCAATGTAAAACATGAATAATGTAGGAGGAATTGCCACTGAAGAAGTGTTCACTATAATATTATGTATAAGGAAAAAAACAAAGGGCCATAATTAGGTCAAAAACTATCCAATCACAAAACCCCGACAATATGTGCCAGGGTGCTTGATGACAAAGCTTCTGTGAAAGTTTGAACAAAATCCGTTGAGAAATGTAGGACGAGTTCAGCACAGAAGAATTTGTTCACTATAATTATATTGATAATTCTGTATAATGAAAAACAAGTTACAAAGTAGACATGAAATAATATATCATATCTTTTTTAAATTACCTCCAAAGATGATATGACCTTTGACTGCCAAATCAAGTTAAAATCATGTAAACAGGATTTTCAATGTTAATGTCACTGTGACCTTGACCTTGGAGCCAGCCATGCGGAACATGCGTTCTGAACGTCATCTTGATGTGGTAAACATTTGTCTGAAGTTTCATCAAAATTCTTCAAAGGGTTGAAGAGTTACAGAGCGGACAGGATGTTCAATGTTAATGTCACTGTGACCTTGACCTTGGAGCCAGCCATGCGGAACATGCGTTCTGCACGTCATCTTGATGTGGTAAACATTTGTCTGAAGTTTCATCAAAATTCTTCAAAGGGTTGAAGAGTTACAGAGCGGACAGGATTTTCAATGTTAATGTCACTGTGACCTTGACCTTGGAGCCAGCCATGCGGAACATGCGTTCTGCACGTCATCTTGATGTGGTAAACATTTGTCTGAAGTTTCATCAAAATTCTTCAAAGGGTTGAAGAGTTACAGAGCGGACAGGATTTTCAATGTTAATGTCACTGTGACCTTGACCTTGGAGCCAGCCATGCGGAACATGCGTTCTGCACGTCATCTTGATGTGGTAAACATTTGTCTGAAGTTTCATCAAAATTCTTCAAAGGGTTGAAGAGTTACAGAGCGGACAGGATTTTCAATGTTAATGTCACTGTGACCTTGACCTTGGAGCCAGCCATGCGGAACATGCGTTCTGCACGTCATCTTGATGTGGTAAACATTTGTCTGAAGTTTCATCAAAATTCTTCAAAGGGTTGAAGAGTTACAGAGCGGACAGGATTTTCAATGTTTATGTCACTGTGACCTTGACCTTGGAGCCAGCCATGCGGAACATGCGTTCTGCACGTCATCTTGATGTGGTAAACATTTGTCTGAAGTTTCATCAAAATTCTTCAAAGGGTTGAAGAGTTACAGAGCGGACAGGATTTTCAATGTTAATGTCACTGTGACCTTGACCTTGGAGCCAGCCATGCGGAACATGCGTTCTGCACGTCATCTTGATGTGGTAAACATTTGTCTGAAGTTTCATCAAAATTCTTCAAAGGGTTGAAGAGTTACAGAGCGGACACAATTTCGTTTGACGCCCGCCCGCCCATCCGCCCAGCCGCCCATCGCCCATCCGCCCATCCGCCCGCCATACCAATCTAATAACCAGGATTTTAAATTAACCTGGTATAATAAACATTACCCCAAATTAAAATTTTCTTTCAGATAATCCTTTCTTTCAAATTTTTGAAGGGTGATTTAATTGGGAAAAAAAATAATATAAAATTGATACTATTTTTTAAACAACAACAAAATTGCTAAAATTTTCCAAAAAACTTTTTTAAACAAAATAAACTTTGAATTAAAACCGGTAAAATATGACTTTTTAGTTTATTTTACTTTATAGTTTTTTTACAATTTTTAAAAACCCCTTCCTGTTCAAATACCTAAAAAAACTTTTTAAAGCAAGATATTTTTAATTTTTGTTTTTTTAGTTTTAAAAAAATTAGAATTAAAAAAATCTGTAAAAAGAAACCAAAACTGATTATTTTAATAAAGAAATGGATTTTCAAAAAATAAAAAAATTTGTAATTTTAATGCAAAAAGACCCCGCGCTTTAAAACTTCCGCTTTTTAAGGGAGTAAATATTTTTTGTTTGAATCGTATTTCCAACTTTAAAAAATATAGCATAAAAAATTTTTTTTAAAGTTGAAATTTAAAAATAAAAATCTGTGTTTTTTTTTATTTTAATTTTTTTGAGTTTTTGAATCGGTTCACAAATTTTCTTAGGGAGCTTTAAATTGGATAAAAAAGGCTTTTGTTTGATTTAAATTTTTAATATTTTAATTGTTAAATTTTCATAGCTTTTTATTTAATACGGCCCAGATGACAAAAAATTTAAAAAATAAGAGAAAAAGCACTAAATTTAAAAAAAAGGGAAAATATTTTATTTACGGGTTTGGTTTTTTGGGTTAAAAGTTTTTGTGATATTTTTTACATTCCATGAAAGGGTTTTTTTCATATTTTGACCCCTTTTGGAATTTTGCTAGAAAAATAAATTCTAAAGAATAATTTAATTTTTGTTTACCCACAAAATTTTACTTTTAAAAACTTTTTAAAATGTTTATGAAAAAACGAAGGGGGGTCTGCTTAACATCAATGTTTATTTTTTAAAAATGACCCTATAAATGGGGAAAACACCCCTCCCCGTTTAATAAATTTTTTAATTAATTGTACTAACAAAATAGTCCTGGCATATAACCCATTTTAAAATTATTCGGCTGATTGAAAAAAAAATTATTGATATATCGAAGAGTAAATATCGACAATATATTGAAACAAAATTTAGATATGCAAAAAATTAATAATACCTGATTTTATTATTTTGTAAACAAAAGAGATGAACATGAAAATGTAGCAAAATGATTACGATGAATCTGACAATCTCTCTGCATGTATATCGTTGTGTAATATTCAATTCTATGGCAACATGGCACAATATTATATCATTTTATAAGTTAAAAATGCAAAAGGTAACACGCCTTCTACACAAGTGATATATTTCTACCACAAGTAATATCTTTCTAACACAAGCAATATCTTTCACTTACAAGCATGATATTGCTACATGGAAAAGTATCTAACGGAAATGACCATTGCAAGGAATAGTTCTTGTAAAATTTGTTCTTGTTTTATAAAATATGTTCAGATACAACAAACAAGAGCTGTCGGTAGGACAGCAACGCTCAACTATTCTTAGTGCTTGATAGTAAATAAAAATGCTTGATACAGTGAACAAGTGTGCAAAGTTTCAAAGCCATATGTCAATGGACCTTGAAAATATTTGAGGTATTACAAAAACTTAAACATAAATTCTAAGTCGAAAAAGGGGCATAATTCTGTAAAAATGCTTGATACAGTTACCTCCTCCTGTCTACAGGTTGGGGTCAAGATGGTGTCCAAGTGTGCAAAGTTTCAAAGCCATATGTCAACAGACTTTGAAAATATTTGAGGTATTACAAAAACTTGATCGTAAATTCTAAGTCGAAAAAGGAGCATAATTATGTCAAAATGCTTGATACAGTTATCTCCTTCTGTGTACAGGTTGGGTCATGATGGTGACCAAGTGTGCAAAGTTTCAAAGCCATATGTCAATGGACTTTGAAAATATTTGAGGTATTACAAAACCTTTAACACAAATTCTAAGTCGAAAAGGGGGCATAATTCTGTCAAAATGCTTGATAGAGTTATCTCCTCTTGTCTACAGGTTGGAGTCATGATGGTGAACAAGTGTGGAAAGTTTCAAAGCCATATGTCAATGGACTTTGAAAATACTTGAGGTATTACAAAAACTTTAACACAAGTGCTTACGCCGACGAAGACACAGACGCCGACGCTCAGGTGACTACAATAGCTCTACTTATTCTTATCGAATAGTCGAGCTAAAAAAGTAATTGAAATGTTTATAAATCAAACATTTTATCATCTCACTAATAATTTCTATCAGTAAAGCTATTTACATGTAGGAAGCCATGCAATAAAATAGGATTCGCTCCTGACCGAATCATTCTATGTTCTTGTTTTTTTGCACTATATCATTGAAATTGAAAAATCAACCCATGCAAAATGGTACAATGTCTAGTATGTTTAACTCACTGCACTGTTTTGAGCTTTTCCTAGGAAGCAAACAAGTTATGATAGATATTTAGCTAGCCACTTCATTAAAAAGTCCTTGAACCTTTTCCTCAAAGTCACTTGAAGTACGCAACTCTAAATTTGCTTTTGCACTACTTTTAATGTACCATTAAGTGGAATTTCCAGTTGATCTGAGTAAATATTGAACTCAGGGACTCGTTCATTTTACCCTTCAATTGTTTTATTGCAGCTTCGTCAGAGAGGTTAATTGCTAATGTTTCTTTGAGATAGTCAAGGTCACTGACAGAGGTTAACTGAGGTATGCCAGACATCAACATCATCATAAATAGTCGGATCAAGAGGTGTCCTCGTCGCCGTAAAACAAGATAAGCTCTTACACAGTATTCTTCAAACCTGTAAAATAAACAAGAGCTGTCGGTAGGACAGCATGCTCGACTATTCTAAGTGTTTGATATTAAAAGAGCCTTGATAATGTAACATTTTCTAAATTAACAAAAGGGCCAAATTTTTCTTTAAATCCATGTTACGGCTATAGGTCTTCGGGAGAGTCCGATTATGCTCTCAAAGAAGTGCATAAAATTTCAACTTGTTTCAAAGCGAGATGTCAATGGAATAGGAAAATATCTGAGGTGGTATGCAACTTGAACGTAAATTCTTAGTCAGTAATTAGCATTATTATACTCACCCTTGTGACAATTTTTGAATTGATTATCTCAAGCAATAATTGAGATATTTGACTTTACAAAAAACTTTTACCAAAATTTCTAAGTTAAAAAGGGGCATAATTCTGTCAATATTGTAAACAGAGTTATCCAACTTGTCAATCTGATGTACATTGTTACTATAAATAAGTATTGCAAGTTTCAATTGAATATCTCATGCAATAATTGAGATATTTGACTTTACAAAAAACTTTAACCAAAATTTCTAAGTTAAAAAGGGGCATAATTCTGTCAATATTGTAAACAGAGTTATCCAACTTGTCAATCTGATGTACATTGTTACTATAAATAAGTATTGTAAGTTTCAATTGAATATCTCATGCAATAATTGAGATATTTGACTTTACAAAAAACTTTTACCAAAATTTCTAAGTGAAAAAGGGGCATAATTCTGTCAATATTGTAGACAGAGTTATCCAACTTGTCAATCTGATGTACATTGTTACTATAAATAAGTATTGTAAGTTTCAATTGAATATCTCAAGCAATAATTGAGATATTTGAATTTACAAAAAACTTTAACCAACGCAGACGCCGACGGGGACGCTGACGCCGACGCCGACGCCGGGGCGACTACAATAGCTCTCATATTCTTCGAATAGTCGAGCTAAAAATACGTTCTTACCATTCAGAACTAGTAAATTGATGAAAAAACTTTTCAAAGAAATAAGCACAAAAAGAATATGAGACCTAATATAATATCAATAGCGAAGAACAAGATTCACAGATTTCAGCCCTTATGATATCAGTAACAGAACCCTAGGGGACAACAAATGGGCCTGGCAACCAAAAGGGGCGAAGAAGGCAGAACAGGGGCAAAATATATTATTGTATGTTTGTTTTCTTGGCTTCCAAGTGACACCAGTGGTGGAGAATGAAGACTTCAAAAGTGCCCCTTTGTGCATTATTTTAGACACAGGCGGGTTCCTGAATGGAACCAGCAACCTTCCATAAACTTGCTGAAAAGCTGTAACCACTTGGCCATGGAGGCCCCTCAAATAAGACTATTTAACCTTAACCTAAAATATACGAGATAAAATGCAATTTTCACCCCCCCCCCCTGCCCTGCATACATCAAAAAGTGAATAAAAATGTCCTATTTATGGCCCAAACATTTGTTTTCATTTGAGAAATGTTCTTAAAAAAGAGTGATCCTTTTAACAGTGCCGCCCCTAACAAAAAGATACATAAGGGAGGTGCCAGAGGGGGGATGTGCTTACCAAAATATTGGACTTGTGAGAGGCTAAAAAGGGCTATAGGTCGATCTTAAGGTAACATGTGACCAAAACTGAAAAGCCTTTGACTCTATCTCAATCCATTGAGAAGTTGCAGCACTTTGAAATCAGTTTTGATGGAAACAATCAAATAACACTTGTGCCAAGTTTGATCAGTATTAAAGCACTTTTCATAGTTTTATAGCAATTTGAACCTGAAACAGGAGGCTTATCGATGAAAACGGCCATTTTCACAAAATGCTTATGCGATAATGGGTTAACCTGAAAGTTTTTTGATGCACCCTTATGTCACAATTTCAAAGCTTAACCATGGCTTTACTATAGGGATAAGTAGAAAAATATATTTCAGCCACACTTTCCTTCATACAAGTAATCTGACGTAGAAATTCATTGATGGCATCAATAAATCAAAAGTCTAATGTATTGGTAAATAAATGTAGGTGCCATGTAACTTAATGTTATTAAGTTATAGGAAAATGGAGGACAAATTGATAACCAATGAGAACATAAAATTACAGTTTATCTCGGTAACTCGAATTTCCAGTGACTGGGCATTTTACTTCGATAGAAACGGAATTCGAATAACGTGGATCTGCTGCTATTACGTTAACATTCGTACATTTATATACATGTGTCTGATTGAATGTCCAAAGTAGTAGGTTTTGTTATTGTTGATAACGGCAATGATGCAATATTTATCCATTGAAATGAACATTAATCACTTACAATCTCAAATTTTAAATTAACAAAAAGCTTTTATTTAAAATTGAATACATGATTTATAATAGGTAACATAAATACAAATATTCATAGCAATAACATAAATGCAAATTAAGTTGGTCAGTATTCATCAGTAATAATATTAAGCACATGTTTACAACAAGCACTCATGACATTACTATAGAAGCACAACAGCACATTTATTGGCCGGGTTGCACTGGTGCAAACCCGGATTATAGTATGGTGAATGTCGGGCGGCGGGCGGGCGGTGGGCGGGTGGGGAAAAACTTTCGTAACAGTTTTCTCAGCAACTACTTATCACAGCTCCTTGATAATTGGCATACAGCATTGACACGTGGTCCTATACCGTGGGATTCAATTTCAGGTCTGTCGCTCATCCACTTCCTGTTTATCGACTTAGTTAAATTTTCAACATTAATGGTCAATGGTTGGAAATTTATATTCGTAACATTTTTCTCAGCAACTACTTACCACAGCCTCTTGATATTTGGTAAACAGCATCAACACATGGTCCCAGACCGTGAGATTCGAAACCAGGTCTGTCGCTCATCCACTTCCTGTTTGCCAACTTTGTTAAATTTCAACATTAATGGTCAATGGTAGGAAATTTTCGTAACAGTTTTCTCAGCAAGTACTTATCACAGCCTCTTGATATTTGGCATGCAGCATTGACACATGGTCCCATACCTTGGGATTCGATTTCAGGTCTGTCGCTCATCCATTTCCTGTATATCGACTAAGTTAAATTTTCAACATAAATGGTCAATGGTAGGAATTTTTCGTAACAGTTTTCTCAGCAACTACTTATCACAGCCTTTTGATATTTGGTATACAGCATCAACACATGGTCCCATGGGGGATTCGATTTCAGCTCTGTCGCTCATCCACTTCCTGTTTGACAACTTTCTTAAATTTCAACATTAATGGTCAATGGTAGGAATTTTTGTAACAGTTTTCTCAGCATGTACTTTTTACAGCCTCTTGATATTTGGCATACAGCATTGACACATGGTCCCATACCGTGAGATTTGATCTTAGGTCTGTCGCATATCTACTTCCTGTTTATCGACTTAGTTAAATTTTTGACATTAATAGTCAATGGTAAACATTTTTTGTAACATCACAGCCTCATGATATTTGGTATACAAATGCAACCCGGCCTTTTCTGTCTTTGACCCATTTCTTAAACAACAATATGTCTTTTACCTTGGAGAATGAGAATTAATCATCAGACAAAAACAAATTACTATAAAACATGTGAACCAGAGTGACAACCGTCCCGTTAGCTCAATAGGTAGAGCGTTGGACTGTGAATCGGGCTACCTGGGTTTGATTCCCGGACAGCACAGGTTACTTTCATTGTGATTGATCATGAAATCCTTCCTAAGGTCATTTGCATTGTACTTCTGCTCTGGCATGTACATTAGTTTCAGTTACGTGCGAAAGTGAAGGCAACTAGTACTGGTAAACTGCTTGACAACCTGCACAGGAACGATGCGGTCGTTGAACTGTGCTCTGCTGATTTCAATGTGGCTTACTGTCCTGATCCGAAGTGAAAACTACCAACACCTAGACCACCTATAACATGTCCAAATCCCTCAAGAGGTGTGCACGTTGCAGAGAAGGCACAAGGCAGGTCAAGGTCAAGTCATCTCGAGTACCAGAAATAATTGGTTGACCTGTCGTGACTTACTCTAGAGGGTGGCGCTAACAAGGGTCTTTTTAATATCGTTGGTCGGACAGCTGATGCCTTGACAGTATTGTCGTCGCCTTCACCACCATTGAATGAAGAACGCGCTACAGGAAGATTCAACATGAAAAAGACGTCCCTAATGAGACTATTTCAGTGGACAGACAAGGATGCTATAATCTCTGACATATGGTTATTCCGATGCCGAGTATAAACAAACTCAAACTACTACTACTACTACAACATCTCACCTTGATGTCGCTGACCTTTGATCAGTCAGCTGTTTTCACACTTTGACTAATTGAGATGAAATATGTTGGATTTGAATTGACCGGACCAAAAAACTCCTTTAGACTAAACAGGAGTCTCAGTAAGTCAAAATTTGACATAAGCAGAGTTAAAGTACAAAGATTAAGAAGGAAATTTGACGGGACTTGAGATATTCTTCGACTCACTCGGAATTTTGAGTAAGGTGATTTTGACTTTTTGTAAGTCAACTGTACTTACTTTTTGTAATTGTCTTTCTCCGATTCTCCTTTAGTGATGACATAATAGAAATGTGGCGTTAAAACAAACGGAACTCGTTCCCGCTTGAAACCAAATTTTGACTTGAAATTTCCAAGAAAGTGGCCAAAGTCAATATGAAATAGCTGAAATATATGAAAAATTCCTGAATATTACATATGTTTATCCCATTTTTAAAACTTGCAAATTTCACATTTATTTGCCATTAACAGAACGGTAAAATCTCTATGAATTATCAAACCTATTTCTGAATATTTGTTAACAATTATCTTTACCCGGAATTTGTTTGTTTGTTTTGCTGGATTATAACATTATAAGTCACACCACATGAGGTCCATGAAATTAACAATAGACTGTTGCAATTTTGAAACCATAATATGATTGTCACTTTATTACAACTTAGTAAAAATTAATGCCTTTCTTTTTTCAGAATATTTTATAAAATATGCATATTCTACAAATAAATGGACGCATTACCTGCCCCGTCTCCTTTAACATTATATTGTCATTGTGTCTATCCCCAATACCCAGCACATATGTGGCCACCGTGTAACCAGCACATGATAATGTGAATTCCTCTATAGCAGTTTCTAGTCTGGAATATCAATGTCAAACATTTCTCTTTCTTCTCAGTTTTAAGTTATAGAGGATATTGAATGAGTGTGTGTTCAATACTGAATTTACTGAACGACATGAATAAAATTATATTATGTTAGCCTGTGGTGAGCATGATATAACTTTATTCAACAAGTTCAATAAATTCAGTAATGTACCTACATGAACATAATATCCTTTTTATCATATAAACAAAACAAAGACTGTTTAAAGTGAAAAAGACACGCCTATAGTGTAACGCTAATATTTAGCGCGTCTTTACACTATGTTTGTATAATGCAAATGACATCACATCAAAATATATGCACGGCCGTGCAATACCACATTTACACAGTCGCAAAATTGGCACGTGTGTGTGATAAATACAGATATTGAACTCTTCACATTTGTTGAGCTTTTGTCTAGATATCATCCAACATGTTGTTGTTTTTCGGCACTATTAGGTATCCGAGTAGAAAATCATCAAACTTTTGAAGCTTGTTTTAGGCATTGGACATAATTTCATAATAGGCAAGTTTCATACTATTGTTATGAAACTTATTCCATAAAATCTATGCAATACATGTAGAAACAAAATAGCTGGTAAAACATACAGGGAACTTGTGAATGGTTGGCAAAAAATATGGCAGCTAATAAAATGCGAAACAAAGAAATTTTATATTTATAATTACAAAATTACTTTTCAGTTTAATATTTTATATCATTAGAAAGATTTGTAAACTCATATTTTACACATTAAAAATTTTTTTTCAAAACTTTTTTGGTAAAGGGTTAAATTTGATGCTAGGAAGCTATTGAAAATACAGTTGAAAAATAGCCAAGTTTCTTTTTTAAAAGCAAAAAATGAAAATACGCTTATATTTCAAAAATATGGATTTAAAAAACTTTCAAGTAATGTAAGAATATAAACAAGAGGGCCATGATGGCCCTGAGGTCGCTCACCTGTATATAGCCCCACCCCCCACACTCCAATAAGAAGATGTTTCATACTAAACATCTAAGCTCTAGCTCATTGGTCTCTTAAAAGAAGATTTTTTTAAGATTTTACTATAAACATATAGTTAAAAACAATGACACCCCTCGGGCGGGGCCAGTTTTGACCCCCGGGCTTTTATTTGAACAAACGTACTAGAAGATGTTTCATGCTTAATATCTAAACTCTAGCTATTTGGGTTTTTTCAAAGAAGATTTTAAGTTTTTGCTATACACATATAAGGAAAATCAATGACCCCCGGGGCTGGGACAATTTTGACCCCAGGGCTTTTATTTGTAAAAGCTTGGTAGACACCTATTTAGAACATATTTGATGCTAAATATCTTAGCTCTAGCTCTTTGAGTTCTTTAAAAGAAGATTTTTTTAAGATTTTACTATATGCATATAGGGAAAATCAATGACCCCCTGGGGCGGGGCCAATTTTGACCCCAGGGCTTTAATTTGAACAAACTTGGTAGACACCCAAAATAAGATGTTTCATGCTAAACATCTAAGCTCTAGCTCATTGGGCTTTTTAAGAGAAGATTTTTTAAGTTTTTACTATACACATATCGTTAAAAACAATGAAACCCCTGGGGCGGGGCCAGTTTTGACCCCAGGGCTTTTATTTGAACAATGTTTATAGACAATTACTAGAAGATGTTTCATGCTTAATATCTAAACTATAGCTATTTGGGTTTTTTCAAAGAAGATTTTAAGTTTTTGCTATACACATATAAGGAAAGTCAATGACCCGCAGGGCGGGGCCAATTTTGACCCCAGGGCTTTTAATTGAACAAACTTGGTAGACACCTATTAGAACATGTTTGATGCTAAATATCTTAGCTCTAGCTCTTTGAGTTCTTTAAAAGAAGATTTTTTAAGATTTTACTATATGCATATAGGGAAAATCAATGACTCCCTGGGGCTGGACCAATTTTGACAACAGGGCTTTTATTTGAACAAACTCGGTAGACACTCATTAGGACATGTTTCATGCTAAATATTTTAGCTCTAGCTCTTTGGGATCTTTAAAAGAAGATTTTTTAAGTTTTTACTATATGCATATAGGGAAAATCAATGACCCCCTGGGGCCGGGCCAATTTTGACCCCAGGGCTTTTATTTGAACAAACTTGGTAGACACTCACTAGAAGATAATTCATGCCAAATATCTAAGCTCTAGCTCTTAGGATTTTTTAAAAGAAGATATTTAAAGTTTTTTTTGGTTGCCATGGCAACCAGAGATCTGCATGGAATTGAATTCTTGAACATTTTTTAAAGGTGACCACCAAAGGAACATTCCTGTGAAGTTTGGATGAAATTGGCCTTGTGGTTTATGAGGAGATGTCATTTAAAGTAAAAGTTTACGGACGACGGATGGACGCCGGACAAAAAGCGATCACAAAAGCTTACCCTGTCACTTTGTGACAGGTGAGCTTAAAATTGATCCACAAATTAGAATTTTGAAATTCTGCTGCTTCATAATAAATTTTAATATTAGCTCTTTTTGCCAATCACTTAATCTGCCAAATTCTAGTAGCAGGTGCTTATGATGTCATCAGTCAACTTGTCTATTACTTAACTCAATATACTTATTTACTCCGATGCCTTTTTATTCCTTTCACTTACACTGCAGATGATCACGTGACCAGAGTCGTACAATGGGCTCATAAAATGGCGGCTTAAGCGCTCGGTAAAAGTAGTGACATTGAGGTTTTGTTTGTTTGTTTGTTTGTTTCATTTTACGCCTTTTCCCAACAGTATTTCAGTCATATAGGCAAGCATACAGTTAATGTTAAAATTATATGTAAATCTAGGCCGCACGGAACGCCTGTATAAAAAACCAAGTACTGTTCTGTTATTGGTTACTTTGTAGCTCTCTCTATTTAGGCCTGAAAGTCGAAAAAGTTGTTTTGGGTGATGAGTACAAAGGCCGAAAAGGTACTAAAATACGTTGTTTTCAGTAAAAGAAACGCATTTTGAGCAAAATTAGCAATGACATCTTGTGCACAATTGGAAGTTTACTCGTCAAGAACAATTTCCATCCTTTGTAAAGTTGCATAAAGAAATTGTGCATTTTTTTAAAAACGAGTACTATGGCCGAACCAAATTTAATGAGTACAATGGCCGAACGATTTCATTGCCTGTCCTATTTCGTCAAATTTTTCATTGAATTATGCATGTTTCTCGCTTCCTGTTTTTGAAATCATAGAGATGTGATATTTGAAAGTGAAATATAGGAAGAAGTATTAAATTAAATGAATTCAGTTTGCTTGCCATAAATTCTCATCTTAATAGTATTCTGCTTTGATAACACACGTGTACATCAGCGTAAAAGTACTTGAAATACAAAAATAAAATACAAATATGAACATTATATAGAATTTATTTCACCAGCAAAATAAATGTATAAATTACATAAACAAAATTTTCAATTATTTTTGAAATAAAGTCAGGTTTTTTTTGTTGTTGTTGTTTTATTTTTGTATTTCAGACTCAGAAAAAGTGGTTCCTTTAAATGAAAAGCATGTTTACGTATATCTATGGAGTGTATACATGTAATAATGTATATATTAGATTTTAAAATTGTGCTTATATTATCGTTAAATACTTCATCACACCATTTGAAGTAATTCAATATCTTTACAGGAATTGGAAATTTCTTATGTGTTTATATGCCGGCATTATGGCAAATCGTATAGAAGACGATCAGCTTCATGTCGTCACGAGCAGGTTCAGAATGGAAGGCACATTGTGGGACATTGTTTCTAAATTTCGGCAAATTGCAAAAACATAGGTCTGTAAATTACATATCAAACAAGAAGTACATAGCTGTTTGATATTTCTACAAACTGCCTGTGTGGCAAAGATTGAAAGAACACAAAGAAATGGTTACATAATGAAAAAGTATTAAGAAAACGAAATAAGGTTATCCTGGAGCAATGTATTTGAAGCGGCATAAAGTTTACTCTGTGTGTAGAAAATGAACGTATTACATACATGTGTATGTTCCTAAAAGGGGTCAGTTGAAGTACACAATTTCTTATGTGATCAAATATTATAAAATACCGGTTATAATAGCTCCAACACCGTTAAACATAACATGGAAGCCATATTTACATCAATAATCTGATAGTATTTCTAAAATTCTAATGTGTTTCAGAGCAAACAACCATGGCGGATCAACACCGTTTCAGGCAGTCAGCTCGCGGCAAATTCTGAATATTTTTAAGCAACACAAGTTATTTACTCAATAAACTTTATTCACGCCCGTTTAACTCACAACGAGTGTAAAATGTCCATCTGTAAAAATGTTGTGAGCAACTTCCATTCCTCGTTGTGAGCACCCATCTTTGACGTGTGAGACGATAAACAATGTGAGCTTTTCATAATTTTTTGAAGATTACAGACATTAATGTAAAAATATCGGAATGCAATTAGCTAGCGATGTGTTTTCCGAGTATGCACATGTAAAAAAATTGCCTGTTGGTCGACAATTTGATGGAGATACCGTGCCACGCTGTCACTCGGGGTAGCTGGAAAACTGGAGACAACTTCTCTCCGGACCAAACTTTACATTGAAAACGTTGATTCTGGTGAAATTTTGTGCATTCAAACAAACCTAAATCAGGTGCCCACAAGTCACAACGTAAATTATTACCTGAAAATCTTCATAGAAACGAAGATATACCATTTATTTGCTTTAATCCTCGTTGTGAGCACCATAACCTCGTTGTGAGCAAGACAAGCGCAGTGCGTGTCAGGTTTTAATATGTAATTCAGATGGGGAAAAAATAATTTTCAATTTACCAAAGCAATTTAAAACGTTACTACACAAAAGAATTTCTTTGCAAGACGTTGTGCAAACCCCGAAGGGAGGCATGTTAGTTTTGAACTGTCTGTCCGTCCGTCAGTCCGTCCGTCCGCACAAATATTTTAGGTATATGAGCTAACTAACGGTACACTGGGACAAAATAGAACAAAGGACTTCATTCCGTAAATAATAGTTAGGTCATAAGGAAACAATAGTTAGCCCACAAGGAAACAAAGGAAAAGAACAATAGAAATAGCTCATAAACCTGAAAAATTGGTATGTCCGTCCGAAAACTTTAACATTAGCCATAACTTCCTTATTAGTAAAAATATTTGATTCACATTTGAACACAACATCCCTTAGCACAAGACCTTCCTACGGACCTGTTTCATGCTAAATATCTTAGCTCTAACTCTTTGGGTTCTTTAAAAGAAGATTTTTTAAGTTTTTACTATATGCATATAGGGAAAATCAATTACCCCTGGGGCGGGGCCAATTTTGACCCCAGGGCTTTTATTTGAACAAACTTGGAAGACATTCACAACAAGATGTTTCATGCCAAATATCTAAGCTCTAGCTCTTACGGTTCTTTAAAAGAAGATTTTTAAGTTTTTACTATATGCATATAGGGAAAATCAATGACCCCCCAGGGCGGGGCCAATTTTGACCCCAGGGCTTTTATTTGAACAAACATGGTAGACACTCACTAGAAGATGTTTCATGCCAAATATCTTAGCTCTAGCTCTTTGAGTTCTTTAAAAGAAGATTTTTTAAGTTTTTACTATATGCATATAGGGAAAATCAATGACCCCCTGGGGCGGGGCCAATTTTGACCCCAGGGCTTTTATTTGAACAAACTTGGTAGACACTCTTTAGAAGATGTTTCATGCCAAATATCTAAGCTCTAGCTCTTACAGTTCTTTAAAAGAAGATATTTAAAGATTTTTCTTTCGGTTGCCATGGCAACCAGAGTTCTGCATGGAATTAAATTCTTTGAACAAGTTTTTAAAGGTGACCACCAAAGGAACATTCCTGTGAAGTTTGGATGAAATTGGCTCAGTGGTTTATGAGGAGATGTCATTTAAAGCAAAAGTTTACGGACGGACGGACGCCGGACGGACGCCGGACGAAAAGCGATCACAAAAGCACACCCTGTCACTTTGTGACAGGTGTGCTAAAAAGTTATGATCCAAGTACAAGTTTGCGGACGGGAACGGCAACGGCAACGCCGACCCGGCTATAATAAGACCTCTACTTTTTTTTTTGAATTTTTTCACCAAAAAAAGTCGAGCTAAAAAGGGTATATCTTCGTTTCTATGAAGATTTTCAGGTAATAATTTGCGCTGAAGACTTGAGGGCATCTGTTTTAGATAAAAATGCACAAAACTTCACCAGAATTGACGTTTTCAATGTTAAATTTGGTCCGGAGAGAAGTTGTCTCCAGTTTTCAAGCTACCCCGAGTGACTGCGTTGCACGGTATTTTTAGCAAATTGTCGACCAACAGGCAATATCTTTACATGTGCATACTCGGAAAACTCATCGTAGCTAACTGCATTCCGATTTTTTTACATAAATGTCTGTTATCTTCAAAAATTATGAAAAACACCTTTTTAATCATGTCACACGTCAAAGATGGGTGCTCACAACGAGGAACGAAGTTGCTCACAACATTTTTACCGATGGACATTTTACACACGTTGTGAGTTAAACGGGCGTGTTTTTTGACGTTTATGCACATGACAAAAATCTCATGATATGGCCAAAAGAAAGTCTGATGACCTAATAAGAGGCACGTTTGTGACATTGACTAGAACAAACACTGAGTTTGCTTTGATATCACACACTTTGATCAGTGATTACTCAAACCCTGACTATATACGTAGGCTCTCCCATGTGTACATTTGTGTTTCTATTTGCCGGAATGGGAAGAAAGGTGACTGATCAAAATTTGCCCTAGTTCGGAAAGCTTAGGGCAGATGCTGCAAGTTATAGTGGGTTAGCATGGAATAACTTGATTTGCTCATGTTCAGATTTTGTCACGAACGAACTGCCACATTCTTCCCACTGACTTGCTCCGCCATTGTTGTTTGATCTGAAACAACTGATTCAGCAACAAATTAGAATTTAGAAATACTATCGGTGTTGGAGCTATAATAACCGGGTTTCATAATATTTGTCCTCGTAAGAAATTTTGTACTTTAATTGTACCTATTTAGGAACATATATAATGCGTTCTTTCCTCAACACAAAGTGTACATTGTATGTCGCTGCTTATAGCAGACAATGGGGCAATATATTGCTCCAGGTTTATCTAATTTCTTTTTCTTAATAGCTTTTCTTTATTTACATGTAACCATTTCTTTGTGTTCTTTCCATCTTAGACAATCAATCCGTATGTAGAAATATCAGATAACTATGTACTTCATGTATAGTATGCAATTTACAAACCAATGTCTTTGCAATTTGCCGAAACTTAGGAACCATGTCCCACAGCATGTATGGGGAACCTTCCCCTTGTGTACCTGCTCGTGACGACATGAAGCTGGTCGTTTTCTAAACGATTTACCATAATGCCGGAAAATAAACACATAAGAAATTTCAAATTCCTGTAAAGATATTGAATTACTTAATATAGTGTGATGAAGTTTTTAACGATATTATAAGCACAATTTTAAAATCCAATATAATTATACATTAAATGAAAATATTCCATAGATATGCGTAAACATGCTTTTCATTTAAAGGAACCACTTTTTCTGCGTCTGAAATACAAAAAAAAAGCACAAAAACCCTTATAATTGACAATTTCATTTCTATAATTGAAACATATATTTTGCTGGTGAAATAAATTCTATTTAATGTACATGTTTGTATTTTATTTTTGTATTTTAAATACTTTTACGCTGATGTACACGTGTGTTATCAAAGCAGAATACTATTAAGATGAGAATTTATAGCAAGCAAATTGAATTCATTTAATTTAATACTTCTTCCTATTTTTCACTTTCAACTATCACATCTCTATGATTTCAAAAACAGGAAGCGAGAAACATGCATAATTCAATGAAAAATTTGACGAAATAGGACAGGCCATTGTACTCATTAAATTTGGTTCGGCCATTGTACTCGTTTTTAAAAAGATGCACACCTTCGTTATGCAACTTTACAAAGGATGGAAATTGTTCTTGACAACGTATTTTAGTACCTGTTCGGCCATTGTACTCATCACCCAAAACAACCTTTTCGTCTTTCAGGCCTAAAGAGAGAGAGCTACAAAGTAACCAATAACAGAACAGTACGTGGTTTTTATACAGGCGTTCCGTGGGGCCCAGTTTTACATATAATTTTAACATTAACTGTATGCTTACCTCAATTTCACTGCTTTTACCGAGCGCTTAGGCCGCCATTTTACGAGCCCATTGTACGATTCTGGTCACGTGATCATCCGCAGTGACTTAAAACCCTAATTTTAAGCATTTTATATCATAATCATATGAGAAGCGTCATGACAAAACCAACATAATGGGTTTGCGACCAGCATTGACACAGACCAGCCTGCCTAACTGCGCAGTCTGATCAGGATCCATGCTGTTTGCTATCAGTTTCTCTACTTGTAATAGAGTTGAAAAGCGAACAATATGGATCCTGATCAGCCTTCTCAGATGCGCAGGCTTGTCTGGATCCATGCTGGTCGCGAACCCATTTTGTTGGTTTTGTTGTGACGCGGCTCAATTATAATAACTCACTCGGATTCTGTCTTGTTTTTGTCCTTTAACCATTCATAAAGTGTCTTCTTGTCAAAAGCCCCTTTTTGTTTCTGTATCTTAGCAAGAGTCGCTGATCGTCGTACAACCTCTATCATACCCTGTTCAAACCCTGTTGCTATACACCCATATGCATTTATCCTGTTTAAACAGCCAAAAATAATGATCAACCATTACTTTTAACACAATCATCAATATAACGCACAAAATCATTGTACATGTATAAAAGATATTCAACTAGTCTAAACATAGCTGATAAGTGCCTTCTAATATTTTTGTTTGATGGCTATATTGGTACTTTATTCTGTGGCTAGCTGGGTACCTTAACCTGGTTCCTGTTTGGTTGCGTTTTTTAGGGGGACCAGTTCAATGAACATCGCTTGCCTTGTTGAAATGGCTGGTACACTCAATGTCCAAGATCAATTGTCGCATAGAATTTCATCAAAGGATTCAACCAATGCTTGTGCTGAAAATAATACCCAGCTGGAGACCCAAGGTCTTCCTCCACCAGTAATACTTTATAGCCATCAAATGACCTTTACAGAGTCAATATGACTTGAAACCATACAAACAAACACAAAAAAACTATAAGCACTCACGGTCACCCGATCAACTCTTAAAAAGCTACCCTGTTATCCTATTGTTACAGATAATAATAACATTATGGTATTTATGTTATTTTAATTCAGTTACATGATATATAACAAACACGATCCTTTACCATTAAATGCACTACATGGCAAAATCTTATCATAACTGCAACACATTATACTAGATATATTTACCTTCTATCTTTAGTTAACTTTCGAAAAATATAGCATGGCTCAATACAATATTCATCTATTATATTGCTTATATTTTGAGCATCTTTAGTCCTAGCTTAAACGTCTGTTACTTACCTTAGATCTAAATTCTCTGCTTGCCAAATACTGTCCATTACTTGAAGCATTTGTAGAGTTAACATATCTTGTCTTAAATCTGAAATCAAACAAAATGTTAGTAAATAGTAATCAACATGGCTGTTTACAGATTCTAAGATTTGACATTATCATTCAAATAAACTGTAATCTACCACTTGATTCTTTTTTTTATGTCTATATTCCTGCTATATTACCAAAACAAGAGCTGTCGGTGGGACAGCATGCTCTACTATTCTCTAAGCTTGACAGTAAAGCAAGAGCCTGGAAAATGTAGAATTTTCCCCAAGTTCAAAAAGGGCCATAATTCAATCAAAATCCATGTTAGAGTCATGTACCTTCGACAGTGACCTTTCATTCTCTATAATAATAAATGTGTGAAGCTTCTACCTATTTCTTCAATAGTTTCGGAGATATCAAATTGCACACAAAAACTTGACCAAAAAGTGGTGCTGATGCCTGCGTGAGTACAATAGCTTTCAAAATTCTTTGCTAAGCTAAAAATGAATCTTAATACATAATAAACAAGATATGTTTGTAAAACATGTATGCCCCCTATCGGCAGCCAATTAGTCATATGATCAGGTTATTATGCATGACTTCTGACCCAGTGAACAAACAATTAATAAGGGTTATGTAGTCTCTACAGGTCATGACTAGTCACAAGGTAATAAGTATTGTGACCCCATAGGTTGTGTGCAGCAATTTAAGTTATTAAAAATCTTACAAATAATATATGCATAAATTTTATGAATCATGTAGGCCTCATTAATGACAGCCAAGTTGTTATATTACATAAGACCTTCAAATGTGTATACCAAAAGCATTTTTAGTTTAATATAAAAATATCAACCAAGGCAACTTGAGTTGTTAAGTTATTGGTCACAAACCATCATTAAGTACAAGGTCAATATGACATTGACCCCTTGACCCCGAAATCAATAGGGGTCATATACTGGTCTTAAGTTATTGATTGGAAACTGTTTTCACCTACAAGGTCAATGTGACCCTGACATTTGACCCCTAAATCAATAGGGGTCATCTGCCGGTCATGAACAATCATCATAGTTACCAAGTTTGAAGTTCCTAGGTCTAAGCCTTTTTTAGTTATTGATCGGAAACCGTTTTTACCTACAAGGTCAATGTGACCTTGACCTTTGACCCCTTGACCCCAAAATCAATAGGGGTTGTCTGCTGGTCATGACCAATCACCATACAAAGTTTAAAGTTCCTAGGCCTAAGTGTTCTTAAGTTATTGATAGGAAACCATTTTTACCTACAGGGTCAATGTGACCTTGACCTCTGACCCCTTGACCCCAAAATCAATAGGGGTCACCTGCAGGTCATGACCAATCACCATACCAAGTTTAAAGTTCCTAGGCCTAAGCATTCTTTAGTTATTGATCGGAAACCGTTTTTACCTACAAGGCCAATGGGACCTTGACCTTTGTACCCTTGACCCCAAAATCAATAGGGGTCATCTGCTTGTCATGACCAATCACCATACCAAGTTTGAAGTTCCTAGGCCTAAGCGTTCTTTAGTTATCACTCAGAAACCATTTGGTCTACGGACCGACGGACCAACGGACCGACTGACCAACGGACCGACGGACTGACAAGTGCAAAGCAATATACCCCCTCTTCTTTGAAGTGGGGGCATAATAATATGACACCATTTATTGTTACTGTTACTTCTTAAAATAGTTCTACAATATAATAAAATATATATACCATCCCCATTTTTGTAGATAATATGGATTTCTTGGCCTTCATCATCCTCGTTAGACCAAACAAGATATAGGGGGCGCTTCTTTGAGTCCATGAACTTACACTGGTCTGTGCTATAAATAGAAATCATACAGTTCTCTATAACCTAGTATTGTTTCACATCAAAGTAGATAATAGTTGTATAAATTGGGCAACCGTGTAGACAAACTGTTCATAAAATAGCATGTTAAACTACTTCAAGTATTAAATATTGAAATATATGTATAAGAGAAGTGATTAAATCATTATTGAGTTAAAATAGACAGAACTACCTGCTGTTAATTAATTTGATGGTCATAAAATAAGTAACACTATTTTAAGTAATATTTTTTCTAATTAATTAAAAACAAGAGCACCGCTAGGCGGAGCATTATATGCCCGAAAGTGTTTTTTTTTAGTAAGGCTGAAGCATTTGTAAGACATGGAATTCGCTGTTCATCCTATAAAATTTTACAGCTGTAGGTTGATTAATACTTAAGTTATTAATAATGACCTTAACCTTTGACCTTGTTGACCCCAAAATCAATAGGGGTCTTCTACTTATATGGAACAATCATCCTAAGACAGTTTGAATATTGTGGGCCAAATTGGAACTTTAATTATGCTCTAAAACTGTTTTTCAGTATTAAGGTTTTAAAGTGCTTTGACTTGTGACCCCCCAAATCAATAGGGGTCTTCTTTACCCAATATGGATAATTCATCCTTATGAAAGTTTGAATATGTGGGCCAAATGGAACTTACGTTATGCCTCCGGAAAACTGTTTTTGGTTTTTAAGGTAATTGTTGACCTTGACCTTTGACCTAGTGACGCCCAAAATCAATTAGGGGTCTTTGCCCAATATGGACAATCATCCTATTTGAGATTTTGAATATTGCTGGGCCAAATGAACTTAAGTTATGCTCCAGAAACCTGTTTTCAGTTTTAAGGATATAGTGGACCTTGACCTTGACCTTTTGATCCCAAAATCAATGGAGTCTTCTACAATTGGGACAATCTCCTTTTGAAGTTTAACTGTTGCAAAAAAATTAGTATGCTTAAACTGTTCCAGTATCAGTAAATACTTGACATTGATGTACAAAATAATAGGTGTATTCTATCAATATGGAATACCATATGAAGAACACTGTGTCAATTAATTAAGTTATGTCCAAAACTGTTTCAGTTAAGTAATAGTGACTTTTTGATTTTGACCAAAAATAATAGGGTTTTACCAAAGGCAATTTTCTCATAAGTTTGAAATTCTCGAATGAACTTATTTTGTCCAATGTTTTCATTTAAGGCAATAGTGACCTGACCTTTGACTTTTGACCCCACTTAATTAGGTGTCTTTACCTAAAATGGAAAACTATGAAGTTTTAACATTGTGGTCGTGGATTTAATTTCTCCGGAAACTGTTTTTAGTTTTAGTCTAGTGTTGACTTTGACCTTTCCCCAAATCAATTTTTACTAATGACAATCATCCTATGAAGTTGAACATTGTGGGAATTGAAGTAAGTATGCTCGGAAACTGTTTCATTTAGGCAAGTGACCTGGATTTGATTTGACCCCAAAATCATGAGGGTCTTCTACAAATGTACAATCACTATGAAGTTGAACATTTTCAATGAATTAAGTATTCCAATTTTTGTTAAGGTCAAACTTTTTTCCTTTGAAAAATCAATTTCTTCTCAATTGGCAATCATCTTAAGTTACATTGGGGCCAATATAAGGCCCCAATGCTCGCAGGGCGGAGTAGATGAGGCGGACACAGGGCGACGCCATTAACTTATGCCTTTTGCTAAAAAGGTATATCAAGGTAATTCTCAGTGGTAAGGCATAGCTGATCCGGAAATCCAGAGACCTGTGGTTCGATTTCAGACTGTGGCGTGCCGATTTTTCGTGCGATATTTCTATATTTATTTCCCGCTCATGACTTTCTTTCAAATTCTTTCACAAATCTTATAAGTGTGCACCATTTATGTCCTTATAACTTTTTCGTTTATAGATATATTTTTACAAACTTTTGTGTTCTGACTATTGGCCGCATTTCCACACATTTCATGTATTCCAGCATGTCAATTTTAATTATGAGGTGCGTTCAACCATGAACGAATGAAATTCACACAATGCACGAAAATTTGTGAGAATTTGTGAAATAAGATTGCACCTGATACTCTCGGATACGATAGAGATCGACATATCAGAAAAACACCACATGGGTAGATTATCTATAGAACAGCGTGGCATAGCCCTAAGATTGGTCAACGCTGGTGTACACCAAACAGAGGTTGGTAACATCATTTATTTGTTTAAATAATTATTTTAATTCCTTTGCATTGTAAAAGCCGAAAATCATCTAAATTCAGTTTCTATCAAACTCGAACATAAAATGCATATTTTTATTTAGTAATTACTTGTCTGTATCATTTGTAGGTTGCGCCTGGCATGAATGTACACCAAACTACCTAAGAAGTACAGAGCAACTTCTTTGGTAACCTTCCTCACCAACCCCAAAATTATCTACAACAGTATGTAACATCGATGTGAAGACGCTGCCGGGCTGTAATACATAGTCAGGGTGGGCACACACAGTATAAGGAAATCGTTTTGCAAATCGACTTTCGACACGCATTCACATTTTTTAGAAATTAAATCTTAAATTTGTATCTTGAATGACAAGTACTTAATAAAAATGAAAGCATGTCTTTTTTCTGTATTTATTGAAAATTTCAGCATGATCCGGCAAAATTTGATACACCTATGAAACCATTTATACATGCACACTTATAAGATTTGTTAAGTGTATATAAAAAGGAAAATCAATGATCATCTGAGGCGGGGCCAATTTTGACCATAGGGCATGTATTTGAACAAACTTGTAAACATCCACCAGAAGATGTTTCATGCCAAATATCTAATCTATAGTGCTTTCGGATTGTCAAAAGATCACCGTATGAACACATCTGCGAATGTTTCTAAATTCAAAGTTTCACCATAACTATGATTAAATGTTGAATTCTGCTTAAGCCGGTGCTAGCAGGCGTGGACAGTTACTTGCCTTTTCCATTACCGTCCATGAACAAGCTCAATCAAACCCAGCCTGCAACATTTTCAATTTTGTCTTGTTGGGCTTTCTTTAGGGATTCTTTATTTCTCAATCAATAACCCCCTGGGGTAGGGTCAATTTTGACACTAGGGCATTTATTTCAACAAACTTGGAAGACATTCATTAGAAGATGTGTCGTGCCAAATATCTTATCTATAGTCTTTTCTGATAGTCAGAAGAAGATTTTTAAGTTTTACTACATGTACATATAAGGAAAATCAATGAAACACTGGGACAGGGCCAATTTTGACCCTAGGGCATTGATTTGAACAAACTTGGTAGAGATCTACTAGAAGATGTTTCATGCCAAATATCTAAGCTCCAGCTGTTTCGGTTTAAAAAAAGAAAAAGTTTTTTCTTTCAGTTGCCATGGCAACCAGTATTTAGCATGAAATGGCATTCTTTGAACTATTTTTAAAAGGGCTTCATGCAAGGAACATTACTGCTTAGTTTTAACAATATTGGCCTATTCGTTTGGGAGGAGTTGTTGATTTTAGAGTTTGGCGTCATGTTTTGGAGGACGCACGGCGGACACAGGGTGATCACAAAAACTCACCCTTGAGTACTTTGTGCTCAGGTGAGCTAAAAATGTACAGAGGGGAACTGAGGTTTTTCTCCATCAGCAAAGCTGGAAAGTTGCCATATCATTAAATCCATAGATCCTCATTTTGTTGCTTTTTGTTTCAATAAAGAAACCATTTTAGTAACTCTTTTTACATGTGAATGTGATGCCTTTTGACACTAAGTGTAATGTTTTTTAAATGAAAATTTAAAGGGCAGCCATTGCCGTCAGCTTTTTCTTTATCTAACAAGATAGCATTTGAGAAAAATGCTATGCCACCGAATTAATATAACACTAAATAGTAGTGTAGGAACAGATTTTCTTTTGTTTCTATACAAATGAAGATTGTCATAATGCATAGATCCCTGACCTATCTAATTCTTATTATCAGATTAGGTGTTAAATCTATTGTTTATCCAAAAAAAAAAGATCAGAGTAGGAATATATCAATTCACTTGAGTCTAGTGAATTTGGTTGTGAAGGTCATATTTCACACAGCCTAAATTTCATGACTACATCGAAGGACAACACAGTAAGACACTTTGTCAAAATCTTGGTCAGCTTATATCAAAGTTCACATTACATCTTAATCTGTGCACATGGTTCAAATTTCATAGCTGTACATCAAAGGACAAGAAAGTAGGTCACATCATCAAAATCTAGGTCACCTGATATCAAAGTTCAATTTTACAACTAAAACTGTGCACATGGTCGAAATTTCATTGCTGTACATCAAAGGACAAGAAAGTAGGTCACTGTCCCCTTGGGCAAGGCAAAATTTTGACCCAAGGGTTTAATTCAAAACAATCATGATACAGGTCCATCAAGCAACATTTCAAGTCAAATATCAAAGCTGAAGCTTTCTTCCATTCAGAAAACATTTGTTTTACTTTTTTTACTATGTGTACATAATGAGAATCACTGCCCCCGGGCAGGGCCAATTTTGAAACCAGGGGAAAAATTTGAACAACTTTGGTAGAGGACCCATAGATGATATTATATAGCAAACATCACAGCTCTATGCCTTGTAGCTACAGACAAATATTTTTTTTACTTTTGTACAATATTACATAATGAAAATCAATAACCCCCACGGCGGAACCAATTTTGACCCCAGGGCTATAATTTGAATAACCTTAATTTTGAATAATCTTGCTAGAGGTTCACTTCACAATGTTTCATGCAAAATATCTAACCTCTAGCATTTGTCAATTGCTAGAAGAAATTTTTTACTATATATATGTAAGGAAAACCAATGACCGCCGGGGCGGGCCGATTTTGACCCCAGGGCTATAATTTGAACAATCTTATTAGAGGTCTACCAGACAATGCCTTATGCAAAATATCTAAGGTCTAGGCCTTTTGGGTCTTTACAAGAAGATTTTTTAAATCTATTCTTATAATTCCTTTAGGTTGCCATAGCAACCCGATTTCTGCACTGAATAAAATTCTTTGAAAAATTTTGGAAGCCCTTCACCCAAGGATCAATCCTACCAAGTTTTGTTGAAATTAGTCTGGTGGTTTTTCACAAGAAGTTTTTTTAAGTTCACTATATAATCTTTATAACACACAAACACAATTAGGTGAATCACTATATGCCACCGCATCACAGATGCTGCGGTGGCATATAAAACTTGACATGACAGTGCATGGTCTTGAGGTTTTATCTGTTAATGCCTTATTTTTTCCCTGTTAACCCTTTCCCCCATGAGCATATTGTGAAAAATGGCCGTTTTCACTGAAATGCCTCCTGATACAAGTTAAAACTGCTATGAAACTATGAAAAATGCTTCAATACTAATCAAACTTGGCAAAAATGGTGACTGGACCATTGCCTTTGTAACAACATGCTCAGTCTTAAATTTCCTGTTACCATGGCAACGAGGGGACATCTCAAAATTGCCAAAAATCACTATTTTTGCCTCGATTTCTTCCATCAAAATTTATTTCAAAGTGCTGCAACTTCTGAAGGGATTGAGATAGAGTCAAGGGCTTTTCAGCGTTGGTTACACGTTACATTATGATCGACTTTGGGTCATTTTTAGCCTTTAACAAGTCCAAAATTTTCTTGGCGATGAGGGGGACTCCGCCCCCCTTTAAACCTCCCCTTACAGAAGGGGGCACATCGCCCTTCTGGCAACCCCCTGATGTATCTTTAGGATAGGGGGCGGCGCCGAAAAAGTGCTCAATTTTTTAGCAACATTTCTCAAACGAAAACATGTGTTTGTGGCCCAAATAGGACATTTTTTCACTCCTTGAGGCCTAAAATGGGGGGTCGAAAGTGCGTTGTTTCGCGTAGATATGAGGTAAAGGGTTAACAAAAAATGATGAAAAACTTTGGAATCAACTAAAAACTAGTTTTTTCATGATAACATGTGGTCTTTCACCTAATTTTGGTGAAAAAAATGTTGTTTTGAAACATTTATAATTTTTTTAGTTAACAAAAGATGATGAAAAACTTTGAAATCACCTAAAAACTAGTTTTTCCATGTTAACATGTGGTCTTTAACCTAATTTTGGTGAAAAATTGTTTTGTAACATTTTTCATGTTTTAGTTTACCCTTTCCCTCATGAGCATATTGTGAAAAATGGCCGTTTTCACTGAAAAGCCTCCTGTTACAAGTTCAAACTGCTATGAAACTATGAAAAATGCTTCAATACTAATCAAACTTGGCACAAATGTTGACTGGACCATTGCCTTTGTAACGACATGCTCAGTCTTAAATTTCTTGTTACCATGGCAACGAGGGAACATCTCAAAATTGCCAAAAATTACTATTTTGCCTCGATTTCTTCCATCAAAATTTATTTCAAAGTGCGGCAACTTCTCAAGGGATTTAGATATAGTCAAAGGCTTTTCAATGTTGTTTACACGTTACATTATGATCGACCTTGGGTTATTTTTAGCCTCTCACAAGTCCAAAATTTTCTTGGCAATAAGGGGGACTCCGCCCCCCTTCAAACCCCCCTAACAGAAGGGGGCACATCTCCCTTCTGGCAACCCCCTGATGTATCTTTAGGATGGGGGGCGACGCCGAAAAAAGTGCTCAATTTTTTAGCAACATTTCTCAAACGAAAACATGTGTTTGGGGCCCAAATAGGACATTTTTTCACTCTTTGAGGCCTAAATAGGGGGGGGGTCGAAAGTGCGTTGTTTTGCGTATATATGAGGTAAAGGGTTAATGTATACATGCAGTTTTTATGGAAGAATACATAACAAACTACAAAACTTGTCTCCAGTTTTGAATAAAAATCCAAATTCGATAAGACATACCTCATTAGTGGTCACAATTTTCTCCGACTTTATGAGTTGACTGAGGGCATTGAGTTTATTGAGGGCATCAAACTGTTTGTATAACACAATCAAATGGTCTGGGCTGGCTTTGAGATATGTCTCTAACAGCAAACCAAATCTCACTGTAACAATTGGGTTATGTAGCTCAGACCTGAAAAACAAAGCAACTATTATGTTTAAGCAACAAGATATTTAAAGGTACATTACATCCTAGAAATGCATTTATTTTTATTTCTCTCTGCATTTTTTCTGTCATATTATAGTTCACTGGGCAATTACCTTCACCATCTATTGCTTCTGTTGCTTTATAGCAATTAGTACAGTTATGCTCTCCTTATTGAGCTAAGTGGGCCGACATAAAACATTGATTAACAGGAGCTTCTTGCCATCTTCACTTTATTTTCTTTCTTTTTTTATGCTCGAAAGGGATCACACTCTTCCAGCATCTCTCAGTATTATTCAAACGTGACCCTCAGTCAGAATTTGTTTGCTCAATATTGTTGGATCACTCAATCACCCCCTTTTCCCCAAACTCAATAATTAATTCAAAACCATAAACAACTTAAACTTATTTGCATATAGTTACCCTTGAAATTAAGCCAACAAAGTTTGACTGATAATAATTTTATAGTCCACATACAGTAGCATACTGAAACTAAAATACTCACTTTAGAAGCCAAAACAGTTGTTGGCCGATATGTTGATTCCTGAGTGCACGTTCGAGAAGAAACTCCGACAGTGGACAGTATAAATAATTTTCATACTTTAAAGCTTGAACAAGTTGTAGTAGATAAAGTGACACTTCATCATCACTGAAATACAAGTGCATCTATATGTATTTATTATTAAATATTAAATAACTATGAGTAAAATAGTATGGATTTAACTTACTACAATGTTGGAGCAGAAATCATGATCACAAAATAGAAAAATATCACATTTTCTGCTGATTCTTACAGTTATCATTCATTTTCATATATACATCATTATAACAAGATGAATTAGACATCTAAAAAGTTCAATTTGGTAAGTTGAAAGACAAGATTTTAACATTTAATCATTTAAGCGCCTTCTTCGGTATATACATGAGTATAGAATTTAATGTGGTGTTCCAACACTTTTTTGCAGTGTCACACAAATAGTATCTACAATACAGTAAATTCTGATAAATCCAACATATACATGTGTAGTGTATATTTCTCCTGAAAAGCATTTGTTTTGTTTAAAGTTTAGTGACACTGCATGACCCGTGTTTTCTTTTTCCTGAAATTTTCTCAACATTTTGTTTCAGAAAGAAAAATGTGCTACAAAAAATTGATATGGTACACAAATCTGCTTATAAAACATTTTATTGATAATGGTATTATGACACCTGTTAATAAATAATAGAGTAGAAAAGCAAACATTACCTGAGATCTTGTAAACAGTCCACGGCATATCTTCGTACATTTTTGTCAGGAAAGTTAAAATCTAGCAATTCTAAAGCATGATCAACAGGTATCTTCTGACCCCATGAATTTAACAAAATCTGCATCTGTAATTAAACAATACATGAACATTGTATGGTTTACAAGGATAGCATCCTAAATGGGATCAAGACCCGCCAATTACATTAAATACATTAATGTGAGAAAACCATCTGTCTGATTCAAAGAAAGTACACATGGACTGCCCTGTAATGGTATATTAAATGTTCTTCTATGGTCTCCCTGTACCATGGCTAGTTATTTTTAAATCATTTAAATACACTAGTATATATCCTTATATAAACCATAACCTGAGACTTCTAGTTATAGTTAAAAGATCCTATTAGAATGGGCAATGAGTTAACAAATCCTGTATTTATCAGGAAGACGCACACACAGATGTAAGAGCAAATAAAATGCCCCTTTTTGGGCTTCTTTTAAATTTTACAAACTGTTCTAATTCAAATCTTAACTTTTTAATGCAAAATCAGAAACTAAGTAAATTTCAAATAAAAAACTTAAAACAATCTTTCAATCTAAGCAAGAATTCTAAAAAAATAATGAAAGATTAATGCAAAAGCAAGTGTTCAAACTTACAATAAGTAACAAAAACCTTAGCCTTAATATGATAAGTTTCATATCAATGCATTCTTCCAATAGATGTTATCCTGAACTCGGCAAATGTGTTTTTTTTTCAAGCTATTTTTGCGGTACAAACAAACATTTATGTATAGAGTTTCACGATCCACTACCAGTCACAATAGATAAGTCAACCTGTTGCTGTTATTTTCAAAACTGTAAATGTAAAAGTTTTCTACTACCACTGGATTAGCTTTGGAAAACCCAAAATAATCTTAATTCCACAGTAAGTTTATAACAAACGAACACTAGTTACCTTAGCAACATCTATATGATTATGCCATTTCACTGATTTCAACACGAGAGGCAAGGCTTGTGCATTTTTCTCTCGTATCTCCACTCTCATAGTCCAGACTAAGTCTTTGTCTTGTTCATGTAGACAGTCCCACTGTCGCGAGCTCAGTATATCATCTAGCAGGCGAACCATCTTCTTTGGTGGATGCCAGTCCTGTAATATCAATGTTTCAACGGTATTTCATTTATTCGGGACAATAATTGCTGTTTACTACTGTATAAGTGGTTAAGTTAGCGACACGGAAATATTGGTGAATTTCACGAATTGACGTAATTCTTTAAAATTTCCTCTAGCATTTCTATCCTTCCACAATTCAATTTCCTCATGTGAAATGTCTGGAATTTTAAATTCACTCACTTTATGACAAGTGGAAATATCCACTTATACAGTAATATTTACAGAGAGGGTTTGAATAAAAAAACAAAGTGAGTTGAGTCACATAAAGTTTGGATAAAGATAAATTTAAGGCCTGGAAGTTATTAGTGGGACAAGCTTTTCTTGGTAAAGGCCACATTGTTCAACTGACCTAAAAAAATAGGATCTATTTAGTCATAACAAAACCCACAACAACTTTCAGGACTATGGGTTAACGTATTCTTTTGTTATTCATTGAACAAGATTTGAACTTCTGATCACAAAATGAAATGGGGGTGTCACCTGGTACATCCAACCTTTACGTTATGCAGACCAAAACATTCTCTTGTTATTGATTAGACAAGGTGCCCTCTATTAACAGTTAGATGGACAGACAGACACGCTGTGTAAAGTAAACTACCTCTACCTCTTCAAACAGTTATATAATATTGACTTTAAAAAAATCCAGTGAAGCTTTAAGAAACAGTATTTATGCTATACTTACAGGATGTCCTGGTGTTCCGGGCCTTTCCATGTTCTCTGCAGCTAGTTCATTAATCTGTTCAGGGGAAAATAAAATAAATTACACTCGCATTATTTAACTATACTGAAGCAAACCAAAGTAGAAATTCCCAAGTGTAACTTAATACATTATAAAACCTATTTTCTGAACATAATTATACATGTATTGCTTCACATGTCTGTTACTAAAAATATACAAAATTAATTTTAACAATCTTGAAAAAATTCATCTCAGGTTGTAAACTGTGATGAAAATCATTTATTTATGAAAAGATGTTCAAGCATTTTCTATCTTGAGCTCTAATAGACCTTTAAATGAGTGGAACTAGAGCAATTTAAATAATCCTGGAAAAGCAACCATGCATTGGTGTCACAGCTTCACTGGTGGAGGAAGACCTCATCAAGTGCCCTTCCGTGCATCATATCAGGCACAAACAGGCACCTGAGTAGAACCACTGATGTTCCCAAAGCTAGCTGGATAGCTTCCTCACATGAAAGAATCCAGCGTCCCTGTAGGGATTCAAACCACAGCGGTGAAGGGCAAGTGGTTTGAAGTTTGAAGAACAAACTTAACAACTCGGCCATGGTTACCCAAGAGTCCAAATTTGAAGTAATTTGTCCCAAGAATGAATCACTTGAATTGGATTTGAAACTCTGCTAAATTATCTGAAGTTTAACCATAATGAGCTTTAGCTTTTCTTAAAGCATCATTATTCTTTTAATCAGTCAAATGTGCATGACGTGAATTTTTGAAAACAATTTTGAATGGAAAAAAAACAAGAATTTGTTTGTTAAACACAAATGCCCCCGGCTCAGAATCTTGACAGTAGCAATATTTCAAAAAATGTTTACCCATACACTCACACTGCGGATGATCACGTGACCAGAGTCGTACAATGGGCTCATAAAATGGCGGCTTAAGCGTTCGGTAAAAGCAGTGAAATTGAGGTAAGCATACAGTTAACGTTTAAATTATATGTAAAACTAGGCCGCACGGAACGCCTGTATAAAAACCACGTACTGTTCTGTTATTGATTGCATTGTAGCTCTCTCTATTTAGGCCTGAAAGACGAAAAAGTTGTTTTGGGTGATGAGTACAATGGCCGAATAGGTACTAAAATACGTTGTTTTCAGTAAAAGAAACGCATTTTGAGCAAAATTAGCAATGACATCTTGTGCACAATTTGAAGTTTACCCGTCAAGAACAATTTCCATCCTTTGTAAAGTTGCATAAAGAAATTGTACATTTTTTTAAAAACGAGTACAATTGCCGAACCAAATTTATTGAGTACAATGGCCAAACGATTTATTGCCTGTCCTATTCCGTCAAATTTTTCATTGAATTATGCATGTTTCTCGCTTCCTGTCTTTGAAATCATACAGATGTGATATTTGAAAGTGAAAAATAGGAAGAAGTATTAAATTAAATGAATTCAGTTTGCTTGCCATAAATTCTCATCTTAATAGTATTCTGCTTTGATAACACACGTGTACATCAGCGTAAAAGTATTTGAAATACAAAAATAAAATACATGTACAAACATGTACATTATATAGAATTTATTTCACCAGCAAAATTTATGTATAAATTATACAAATAAAATTGTCAATTATTTTTTAAATAAAGTCAGGTTTTTTGTTTGGTTGTTGTTGTTTTATTTTTGTATTTCAGACTCAGAAAAAGTGGTTCCTTTAAATGAAAAGCATGTTTACGTATATCTATGGAGTATATACATGTAATAATGTATATATTAGATTTTAAAATTGTGCTTATATTATCGTTAAATACTTCATCACACCATATTAAGTAATTCAATATCTTTACTGGAATTGGAAATTTCTTATGTGTTTATATGCCGGCATTATGGCAAATCGTATAGAAGAAGATCAGCTTCATGTCGTCACGAGCAGGTTCAGAAGGGAAGGCACATTGTGGGACATTGTTTCTAAGTTTCGGCAAATTGCAACAACATAGGTCTGTAAATTACATATCAAACAAGAAGTACATAGCTGTTTGATATTTCTACAAAGGGCCTGTGTGGCAAAGATTGAAAGAACACAAAGAAATGGTTACATAATGAAAAAGTATTAAGAAAACGAAATAAGGTTATCCTGTAGCAATATATTGCCCTATTATTTGCAGCGGCATAAAATGTGCCGTGTGTAGAAAAATGAACGTATTACATACATGTGTATGTTCCTCTAATGATTCAGTTGAAGTACACAATTTCTTAGGTGATCAAATATTATAAAATACATGTTATAATAGCTCCAACACCGTTAAACATAACATGGAAGCCATATTTACATCAATAATCTGATAGTATTTCTAAAATTCTAATGTGTTTCAGAGCAAACAACCATTGCGGATCAACACCATTTCAGGCAGTCAGCTCGCGGCAAATTCTGATTAAGCAACACAAGTTATTTACTCAATAAACTTTATTCACGCCCGTTTAACTCACAATGAGTGTAAAATGTCCATCGGTAAAATTGTTGTGAGCAACTTCAATTCCTCGTTGTGAGCACCCATCTTTGACGTGTGACACGATAAACAATGTGAGTATTTCATAATTTTTTGAAGAAAACAGACATTAATGTAAAAATATCGAAATGCAGTTAGCTAGCGATGTGTTTTCCGAGTATGCACATGTAAAAATATTGCCTGTTGGTCGACAATTTGATGGAGATACCGTGCCACGCAGTCACTCAGGGTAGCTTGAAAACTGGAGACAACTTTTCTCCGGACCAAATTTAACATTGGAAACGTCAATTCTGGTGAAGTTTTGTGCATTCAAACCTCATCAGGTGCCCACAAGTCACAGCGTAAATTATTACCTGAAAGTCTTCATAAACGAAGAAATACCCTTTTTTGCTTTAATCCTCGTTGTGAGCACCATAACCTCGTTGTGAGCAAGACAAGCGCAGTGCGTGTCTGGTTCAAATATGTAATTCAGATTGTGAAAATATAATTTTCAATCTACCAAAGCAATTTAAAACGTTTTACACAGCAGAATGTCTTTGCAAGACGTTGTGCAAACCCCGAATGGAGGCATGTTAGTTTTGAACTGACTGTCCGTCAGTCCGTCAATCCGTCCGAAAACTTTAACATTAGCCATAACTTCCTTATTAGTAAACGGATTTGATTCACATTTGAACACAACATGCCTTAGCACAAGACCTTCCTACGGACCTGTATTTTTACTTTGACCCCTGAATGGCTTTTACCTTGAATGTCATATTGTCAAAAAACATTTAAGATTGGCCATAATGTCCTTATTAGTGAATAAATTTAATTCATATTTAGGCACAACACCTCTTTGGACAAGGCCTTCCAACTGACCTATATTCTTTTGACCTGGACCCCTGAATGACCTTCACCTTGAAGGTCAAAATGTCCAAAGACTTAAAAATTGGTCATAACTTCCTTCTTAGTATACGGATTCTACTCATATTTGGACATAACACCGTTTAGACAAGACCTTCAAACTGATCTGTTTTTTTTTAAACCATGACCCCTGAATGACTTTCTAGAACATCCAAAAACTTTAACATTGGTCATAACTTCTTTATTAGTAAGTGGAAGTGTTTCATTTTTGACACAATGTCCCTTTGGACAAGACCTTCCAAATGACATATATCTATTTCACCTTGACCATGAGTGACCTTCACATTGAAGATCTAATTATCAAAAAACAAATAATCTATCTGGTCCATGAATCCAAACACAAAGCACCACTTCGGGGGTATTGTCAACTTACCGTGACAGTTCTTGTTCTACATACCTAAATATGAATTAAATTGATTTACTAATAAGGACATTATGGCCAATCTTAAATGTTTTCGGACAATTTGACCTTCAAGGTAAAGGCCATTCAGGGGTCAAGGTAAAAATACAGGTCCGTAGGGAGGTCTTGTGCTAAGGGATCTGGTGTTCAAATATGAATCAAATCCGCTTACTAATAAGGAAGTTACGGCCAATGTTAAAGTTTTCGGATGGATTGACGGACTGACGGACAGTTCAAAACTAATAGGCCTCCCCTCGGGTATGCATAACGTCTTGCAAAGTAAGATATTCTGCTGTGCAAAAACGTTTTAATTGCTTTGGTAGATTGAAAATTGTATTTTCCCCCATCAGAATTACATATTAAAACCAGACACGCACTGCGCTTGTCTTGCTCAAAACGAGGTTATGGTGCTTACAACGATGATTAAAGCAAAAAGGGTATACCTTCGTTTCTACGAAGACTTTCAGGTAATAATTTACACTGAGGACTTGTGGGCATCTTTTTAGGTAAGAATGCACAAAACTTCACCAGAATTGACGTTTTCAATGTTAAATTTGGTCCGGAGAGAAGTTGTCTCCAGTTTTCAAGCTACCCCGAGTGACTGCGTTGCACGGTATTTCCAGCAAATTGTCTACCAACAGGCAATATCTTTACATGTGCATACTCGGAAACCACATCACTAGCTAACTGCATTCCGATATTTTTACATAAATGTCTGTTATCTTCAAAAATTATGAAAAACTCACCTTTTTAATCGTGTCACACATCAAAGATGGGTGCTCACAACGAGGAACGGAAGTTGCTCACAACATTTTTACCGATGGACATTTTACACACGTTGTGAGTTAAACGGGCGTGTTTATTGACGTTTCTGCACGTGACAAAAATATCATGATATGGCCAAAAGAAAGTTTGATGACTTAATAAGAGGCACTTTTGTGACAATGACTAGAACAAACAAAGTTTCACTGAGTTTGCTTTGATATCACACACTTTGATCAGTGATTACTCAAACACTGACTATATACGTAGGCTCTTCCTTGTGTACATTTGTGTTTCTATTTGCCGGAATGGGAAGAAAGGTGACTAATCAAAATTTGCCCTAGTTCGGAAAGCTTTGGGCAGATGCTGCATGTTAGAGTGGGTTAGCATGGAATAACTTGATTTGCTCAAGGTCACAAACAAACTGCCAAATTCTTTGCACTGACTTTTGCTCCGCCATTGTTGTTTGATCTTAAACAACTGAAACAAATTAGAATTTAGAAATACTATCAGTTTATTGATGTAAATATAGCTCCCATGTTGTGTTTAACGGTGTTGGAGCTATAATAACCGGGTTTCATAATATTTGTCCAAATTTTGTACTTTAATTGTGCCTATTTAGGAACATATATAAGCGTTCATTCTTCAACACAAAGTGTACATTGTATGTCCCTGCTTATAGCAGAAAATGGGGCAATATATTGCTCCAGGTTTATCTAATTTCTTCTTTTAATAGCTTTTCTTTATTTACATGTAGCCATTTCTTTGTGTTCGTTCCATCTTAGACACTCAAGCCGTATGTAGAAATATCAGATAACTATGTAATTCATGTATAGTATGCAATTTACAAACCAATGTCTTTGCAATTTGCCAAAACTTAGGAACCATGTCCCACAGCATGTATGGGGTACCTTCCTCTTGTGTACCTGCTCGTGACGACATGAAGCTGATCGTTTTCTAAACGATTTACCATAATGCCGGAAAATAAACACATAATAAATTTCAAATTCCTGTAAAGATATTGAATTACTTAATTTAGTGTGATGAAGTAGTTTTTAACGATAAGCACAATTTTAAAATCCAATATATACATTAAATGAAAATATTCCAAAGATATGCGTAAACATGCTTTTCATTTAAAGGAACCACTTTTTCTTCGTCTGAAATACAAAAAAAAAACAATAAAAAACACCTAATAATTGACAATTTCATTTATATAATTAAAACATATATTTTGCTGGTGAAATAAATTCTATATAATGTACATGTTTGTATTTTATTTTTGTATTTTAAATACTTTTACGCTGATGGACACGTGTGTTATCAATGCAGAATACTATTAAGATGAAAATTTATAGCAATCAAATTGAATTCATTTAATTTAATACTTCTTCCTATATTTCACTTTCAAATATCACATATGTATGATTTCAAAGACAGGAAGCGAGAAACATGCATAATTCAATGAAAAATTTGACGAAATAGGTCAGGCAATAAAATCGTTTGGCCATTGTACTTATTAAATTTGGTTCGGCAATTGTACTCGTTTTTAAAAAGATGCACAACTGCGTTATGCAACTTTACAAAGGATGGAAATTGTTCTTGACGGGCAAACTTCCAATCTTTCACAAGATGTCATTGTAAATTTTGTTCAAAATGCGTTTCTTTACTGCAAACAACGTATTTTAGTACCCGTTCGGCCATTGTACTCATCACCCAAAACAACTTTTTCGTCTTTCAAGCCTAAACAGAGAGAGCTACAAAGTAACCAATAACAGAACAGTACGTGGTTTTTATACAGGCGTTCCGTGCGGCCCAGTTTTACATATAATTTTAACGTTAACTGTATGCCTACCTCAATTTCACTGCTTTTACCGAGCGCTTAGGCCGCCACTTTACAAGCCCATTGTACGATTCAGGTCACGTGATCATCTGCAGTGACTCAGTAATGGACAGAAAAATTGCCAAAAAATTGTAAACACAAGTTATATATCTTGACAAAGTCATGGCATTTTGTAATTGTGACAAATATAAGTTGCCAAGTCATTGCTCTGACTTGTGAAGTTGAAAAATATTCAACTTCATGCAAGTTATCTTCCTACCAAATAGGTGACTGGTGACCTTAACCACACTGACTCCTAACTCTATCCAAAAGAAGAATACCATGCAAGTTATCTTCCTACCAAATACGAAATACATCTGTCAATAAATAAATGCTGTATGGGCAAAAGTGTAAAAATCTATTTTTAGCACTGGTGACCATAACCAAACTGACCCCTAACTCTATCCAAAAGAAGAATACCATGTAAGTTATCTTCCTACCAAATATGAAATACATATGTCAATAAATAAATGCTGTATGGGCAAAAGTGTAAAAATTTATTTTTAGCACAAGTGACATTGACCCACTGATCCTTACCCCAATCAAAAGGATGAATACCATACAAGTTATCTCCCTACCAAATATAAAATATATCTGTCACTTAATAAAGGCTGTATGAGCAAATGTGTAAAAAATCTATTTTTAGCACTGGTGACCTTGACCCAACTGACCACTGACTCCATCAAAGTTTATGTTTCTATCAATTATAAATAACATCTGTCTATAGAATAAGGTCAATACTAAGTATTCAACTATGACATCACATAAAATATAAAGGCTGTATAAGCAAAAATGTTTATATTTATTTTTTTTAAACCAGTCACCTTGACCTTGACCCTAGAGACCGCTTACTCCACCTACTAAATATGAATTGTTTGTTTGTTTGTTTCATTTTACGCCTTTTCCCAACAGTATTTCAGTCATATAGGCGGTAGTTTCCTAACCATCGTTCCTGGAGAGTTACACCAGTACTTGACAACCTTCCTCCGCGCTAAACTACCAAAGCATCTCCCGGGGATCGAACTCTCGCCAGAGAGGTAACTGGATTAGAAGTCATTGACTCTAACCCCTCGACCACGGAGGCGGTATGAAAGATATCTTTAAAGAAATTAAGCAATTAGGAGAAATTTAAGATAAATCCAACTTGCGGAAATAGGTTTACCAGACAAGGCCCTATTTTCAAAGTGAAAAAAGGGAAATAACTGAAAAATATTGATGACACAGTTATATAACTTGGCAATATCATGTACTTTGTATTGATAAGTAAGTGTGGAAATTGTAAAGCCATTAGTATCGATAGAACTATTCCAACTTGCCGTTTTAGGTTAACCATTATTCATTTTCTAAGTGCTTAAAGGGCAATAACTTGGTAAATATGAAAGCAAGAGTTTTACCCAGATCATGTACTTTGTATTGATTAGTTAGTGTGTAAACTAAGAAGCCATTGGTACATGTAGAACTTTAGAAAAATCCAACTTGTAGTTCTAGGTTAACCTTGTATGGACAGATGAACAGATGGACAGACGGACAGACGGACGGTTCAATCACTTTGTGCCCGGGGGCATTAAAACACAACTGAAAGACAAAAATGCTCGAACTATTAAGTTATGATGTAAAATAATTTATAGTAATGGATGTACCTTTTCATCGGATGGGAACACAATGGGTGGATTTCTGTTATATTCAGAGAATTGGACAGTTAACATGATAGTGCTATGGGGGTTCAATGACACACTTCCTGTAAGTATAAAACATATAACATGACCTCTCTTATTACATAACACTATAATTATAACATTATAAGCTACAGTAAACTTCACGTATAGCGAACACGGTTATAGCGAACTTCCGGTTATAGGGAACAATTTATTTTGGCCCGAATTTTGGCCTTCTTTATTTAATATAAAAATATATGGTTATAGCGAACACGGTTATAAGGAATTATCGCTTATAAGGAACTCATTTCTTTGTCCCAATTTAGTTAATAGTACTGAAAATTACACTTTTATAACGAACTCCAAAATATTGTACTTCAATACATCTATTCAAATGAATTTGTATAGTTTTCTATTTTGGATATTTTTAGCATGAGCTCTTTTCACCAAGATAAAACGGTTATTTATTTATTTTCTTCAATAGTTTTGCTCGAGTAAAATAATTATAATAATTTATAATCAGTTTTCAACAAAATCATGCATGCTTGCAAGCATGATCCATTGCAAACTGCAAAGAACGCTTGATTTAAATGAAAAGAAATCTATATCTTACATTAGTAAAGTCACCCTTAAATCATAATAGAAGATATTCAATATAAAAGGAAGGAAAAATCGAAAATCTTGTTTATTCTCAATCATGGAAAGAAAACGAAAATAGTTTAGAAACAAAAATTTATATTTTATGTGAAATTGAGATAAGGAGTAAAACTAAAACTGAAATAGCAATCAAATTCCAAAAAGTACGCTCTCGGGTAGTGTGTCTAAAATATAAATAAATGACTAATATTTCTATTTCTTAATCAAATTCTCTTCAAAAATGGCGGACAATGGTAAACAATCACTTCGTTATATGTAAATCTGTTCGCCATAAAAACTCCTGATACAACGAACTAATTCGCTATATGCTTACAAGGAACTCCGGATATAAGGAACAGGTTTTGAATGTCCCAGTGAGTTCGTTATAAGCAGAGTTTACTGTATACATTTTTTGACAGGTTTTTTGGTTCAGTATCACTAATTGGTTTATACCAAATTTATTTAAGTTTGATTGTGTAGGAAACTATACACTTTCGAGTATAAATGATTGTTGACCTAAATACAGTCAACCCTGTGAACAAAGGACACCTAAAGAAGAGACCAGACATAAACAAACAAATGGTCTTTATATTGGGGTTACTCTTTTCTTTTGAATTAATAAGTGGTTATTGACAAATGGTCTTTATCCACAGAGTGGTCTTATTCAGAAGTGTCTTTAACACATGTCTGACTGTAACCTGAACGTCTATATGAGGGTTGTATTGCAAACAGCCATTTATACATATACATATAACATATAACTTGACCTCAACAATTAATCTATATTTCTGGATGATGACTTCCTTTGATTGAAATAGAAATAAATTTATAAATTTACATCTGTTGTGAATAAAGTTTAGATAAAGTTGATGTCATTAAAGTTTAAGCAAACAGGAGAGCGCTGCTTTTCTTTAATTGGTCAAGTTGAAATGTTTTACAACTTAATTCCTAGAATCCTTTCTGTAAATAAATTATGATACAGAATTTCCTTCTTTAAGTTATATTTTATATATTTTGTTGTATTTTTCCAAAAAACAATCTCAATACCTCAATATATTGTTTTAGACCATTCACCAAGATAACATAACTCTTTATAACCTGATAAGAATATATGACAAGAATTATCTCCCTTACACACAAAAGACTTCAATAAATTAACAATACAAATAATTTTTTTTTCAAGTATGATGTTCATTGTTTTCTTTAATTGTACTCAGTTATAAGTTTCCAGAAATGATTAAATGGAGTTCCTTGTAATTGATTGATAATTTTCATAAACTCTTAAGTGAGTTAAATTGTGTTTTATGAAAAATGGATGAGTCAATGAGGGTATTTATGGAAAAATGGATAAGTGATTTAAAATGAGTATCTATGGAGTAAAGGGTAAATAAAAAAAAAGTTTTGATAAAAATTTACCTAGTGGATAGCAACCAGTCTCTTCTAATTGCAATTCAGCCGTGACTGGCCACATGGCTAACTTGTGTTCCCCAACCAACAGTCGAGACCGGAAATCAAACACTGGAATGTTTACCCAAGCTATTGGATTCAAACTCTGAAAAATAAGTAAAAGATACTGAATATATATAATTATTTTCTCAAACAACTATGGTTAATATCCTGCCAATGTTCAAATTTTGAGAGTCTGCTAGAAAATTCAGAAACAAAGTTACTTGGTAAAGAAGCCCTAATCAATGCTACATCTCAAATACATTAAAAAAATTGTAATATCCTAATTTAAGGATATTTTTCCTCTTAAATTTAATTGTGCTTATTAGTGATGAAAATGAATGAGGTCTCTTGTTAGAAAAGGAAAGGTTTAACTGAAATTTTCTCATATCATAATCAGTATTTTAGTACTGAAAAATACTTGAATCAAATTCAACCTGAAACAAAATAAACTTTTGTTTAAGACAACAAACATAGAAAGATATTGTAAATTTTCTTATAACACCTTTATTTATGGGGTCTGATTTTTATTATAGAAAAGTTGAGCAAAATACCTTTGCCCCCCTCATCCTTCCGTGTAGAGTAAAGCACAGTCTGCTGGCTGTCTGAACATCCATGACCTGAAGGTCAAAGGTCAAGGTCGCTCCAATATTACAATTACCACCTAATACTGGCATCTCGTTTGTGGTTTTAACATCCCCCAGTACTTCACTACCATGATACAACCCTACAAACAGCTTAACCTGAAATAATAATTATCTCTTTAATAGCACAAATGATTGAAAATACAACGAAAAAAATAGAATTAACAAAAGTGGATTTTGCTGATTTGATATCAAAATTTCTATTCAAAGTCAAAACATCTAAATTTTTTGCATGTCTGTAAAAACCTGAATCTTTGTTTGAAAAGAAGCAGACCAAAAATGAATGAAACCTATGGTACATTTTGGAGAATAAACGCCCCTGGCCCCTTCTGAGCCCCTAAATCCAGGTAACAAAAAATAATAAGTTTAGCTAAAATGGCTTAATTAGTTTCTTAAGACTAGAGAAAGAATGATGTAATACCTCTAGTACAGTCAAACCTGTGTTAGAGACCACCTCTGAATAATTTAAAGATCACCCTGTAAATAAAGCCCACTGTCTGACAACCCTTAACAGATTAAAAGAACAAAAAGAAACCTCAAAGTAAAGTCCAATTGTCTATAAAGGCCATGCTTATTATCTCCCTTAGATGACCTTTGTTCATAGGTTTTACTGAATTAATATAAACATGAACATATATGAGCTGCGTCATAACAAAACCAACATAGTGCATTTGCGACCAGCATGGATCCAGACCAGCCTGCGCATCTACGCAGTCTGATCAGGATCCATGCTGTTGGCTAGTAGTTTCTCTACTAGCTATAGGGTTTGAAAGCGAACAGCATGGATCCTGATCAGACTGCGCGGATGCGCAGGCTGGTCTGGATCCATGCTGGTTGCAAACCCATTATGTTGGTTTTGTCATGACACGGCTCAATTATATAATTATCCTTTTAAAGATTTATCAATTATAAATTTTGACACAAGATGTGATGCTTGTGACAGAATAGGCGTTTACAACAGGCAATATCTTACTTATGTTTTTATATTTCCTACTTAAAAGGATACTCAGACAAATTAGTGACAAAATATGAAAATGATCTTATGTACTCATATCACGCTAAAATGACTTTTTTTAAAAGTCCCAACATGAATGTCTGTATAAATTCTATATATTTGGGGTTTAGAGCATTAATACATCTAAATATGTTGGACGAAATCTAGACAACGAAAGAATCACAGAATGGTTTTAAAACAAGTCATGTGACTTGAACAAAGCCTGCAAGTTACAATAACAGATATTGTGGATATTGTATGATTAAACTAGTCTAGTCATCCATTTGACATGAGTTTTTTTTAACGTTTCCAGTGTTCAATGTGACAACTATTTTGAAATCTGAACGCTCCAACCTGTTACCCACATGGGTCAAGTTAGGAAACCACCCCTTTATTCTTTATACGGAGAAAAGTCTTATTCCTGTGACTGTCTAGTGTATTCATTTCTAGTATATTAACTGAATAATGTATGAAAAATTCAAAACAATGAAATGAACATTTTGCCTGTGTCTCCCTTTAAAACTTGGGGAGGGGGGAGAAGTTTAAACAAAATGTAAAATACCTTGTCAATGTTGTCTTTCACTTGGTCAGAAGTAATCTCAATATTCTGTATTCCCTTCACCTGAAACTCAAAATTATCCTCAATGTCCCACACGAGATCGTCTTGATGTCTATTTATATTATGCTGTCCAGATAATCTCGGTACAGGTCTTATGTGCTGATTTGGATCTGTAATATCAATAAATAGTCATATCTCCGAAAAAATGTTACGGTACGTAGAAATGGACCAGAAGTTCCGGTAACTAGCATGTTTAATGATAGCAACAGCTAATCTGGGGCAAATTTGTTGGGCTTTTTATTTTGTTTAATATTCCATTGCTAATGTGCTTCATATTGGGGGAAGTGGGTGGCTACCCAACCACCCCCCCCCCCTTTTAGTTAAATAAAAAATGTACTGCCATATTTTGAATTCAGACATGAGCAATGAATGCGTACCAGTAGACTGTATTCAAGCTAATATCTCAGCAACTGATATACAATGACTGTGCTCATTTAAAACCTTGACCTGCTGAATTACTGTAATGGAATTGCCCTGCATTGAATTTGGAATAGTTCATCCAAAATTTAGGGGTTTCAGTATCAAAACTCCTAAAAATTGAACTGCTAACAGTAAAGAACCTGGTCAGAGTGCAGGAACATATGGCTCAGTACAGGAGGCAACGGCTATTTGTATTTGGTCCCGGCGGATAAAGGGTTAAATAAGAAGTATTAACTTAAAACAGCTATATACAATCATAAATAATAGTTAAAGCCTTGCTTCCATTTCAAAGAGTCAAATGTATTTTGACAGTTTAAAGTGCCAAATAAAAATATCAAAAGATTAAAAAAAAAACTTGCTCCCAAATAGATTTAACCCCATGCATCAAGTGAAGCTGTATATAAGTTACCAAATCTAAATAAGATTTTCCTAGTTTTACGTAAAATGCTCATATTACAGAGAAAGCTTCCCTTACTGAAGGACAAAAAGACAAACAAATGACACGAGGCATTACATTATCAATGGCAACTCTTTTTGACATGTGAGCCGCACCATGACAAAACAAACGTAATGCGTTCGCAACCAGCATTGATCCAGACCAGCCTGCGCATCTGCGCAGTTTGATCAGAATCCATACTATTCGCTCACAAACCGTATAACAAGCAGAAAAACTGATAGCTAACAGCATGGATCCTGATCAGACTGCGAGTATGCACAGCCTGGTCTGGATCCATGCTGGTCGCAAAGGCATAACATTGGTTTTGTCATGGCACGGCTATTTTTAGAAGAAGAAATAGTGAAGAATTACCAAAACATGTACTTACCTACTTTGAGGATGGAATATTTGTTGACCAACCAAAACTCAGGGGCCATGTTCCGTTGAATACATGTGTACATATACTGAAAAAAAATTATAGAACATATCTCCTTAATTTCATTTTCATACAGTTACCATGTTTGATTTGACAGGGGTTTTTTTCATAATAAAGAGTTATCTACTCTCCTTAAATCATTTTTAGATCTTTTTATCAATAGGAACCTGTGTACTGATATGATCAAAAGGACCTAAATAAACTAGAAATATTACTAAATGTGATTAATACCCCTGCAAGTCTGCTTCAGAAATCAAGAAGTAACTAGTAACAGAATACCTTGCAAAAGAACTGAAATAGAGTTATGGTTGTGGGCAATTAAAGATAGCTGTGGTTCTGTTATGTTGCATTTCCTTTCAATGTGGTTGACCATTGATGATGTTTTATTGAATTGCTCTGTAATAAGTCTAAACTAGAAATGTGTCAATAGGACACGGGTTCCCCCACTGCGCCACTGTTCTGTCAATCTTTTGACTCTAGGTCAAATATTTTTTGGAAAACTAAAAATCTTTAACTAAGTAAAGGGCAAGAACTTTACAAATACTTAATAAATCCACAAGCAAACCCCAAGTTGAAAATTGCAAATTTATACTACTGTAAGTCAATGGCAATAACTCTAACAAAACTGAAAAAAATCCACATGCAAAGTCCCTGGTTCATAGCTTCACAGTGATGTGAATCATTATTCCTGTAATTTAGTCATGTTGATCATTATTCCTGTAAAGTTGGTCGATTCTAACTCAAGCACTCAAGGAACAAAAATTGCAAAATTTTTCTAAGTCAAGGGCAATTACTCTAAAAAAACTAAAAATATCCAGAAAAAAATATACAGGTGCACAAGTACACATACTGATTAACATTCCTGTAAAGTTTCATGACTCTAGGTCAAATACTTTTTGAGTAACATGCGACACAAGTTGAAAATTGCTAAATTTTACTAAGTCAAGGGCAATAACTCTAAAAATACTAAAAATATCCAGACGAAAGTACCCAGGTGCACAACTACACATGCTGATCAACATTCCTGTAAAGTTTCATGACTCTAGGTCAAATACTTTTTGAGTAACATGCGACACAAGTTGAAAATTGCAAAATTTTACTAAGTCAAAGGCAATAACTCTAAAAATACTAAAAATATCCAGACAAAAATACCCAGGTGCACAACTTCACATGCTGATCAACATTCCTGTAAAGTTTCATGACTCTAGGTCAAATACTTTTTGAGTTACATGCGACACAAAAGAGAACGGACGGACAGAGGGAAGGAAGGATGGATGTACGGACAGACGGACAAGGGTAAATCTAAATCCCCGCCACAAAAGTGGGGGCACAAAAAAGTTACGCTTGCCTTCTTGAGCACTGTTCTTCCTCTCATTTTGCTTGACAATTGAATGAAGTTTCATTAAACTGAAGACAGAATTGTGTTTATTGAACACTGTACTACCTCTCATTGCACTTGACCATTGTATGAAGTTGTATTGAATTCCAAATACTAGTTTTCAAGTAACGCAATGGACAAAAAAATAACAAAGGGCAATTTTAATTAGTCCAAAGAAAGTTATGGTTCTTCTGCACTGCACTTCATCTCAATGCCCTTCCACTGTATGAAGTTTCTTTGAATTCCAACCATTTATACTGGACAATAAAAAGTAACAAAGGGCAAAAAACTATCAAATGAGTCAAAAAAGAGTTATGGTTTCTGTGCACTGCGCTTTCTCTCAATTTTCTTGACCATTGCATGAAATTGTATTGAATTCCAACTGGTGAATTTCAAGTTATGCACTGGACGAGAAAAAAGCAATGACAAAGTAACAAAGGGCAATAACTCTAATTACTCTGAATAGAATTATTGTTCTTGTGCACTGCACTTCCTTTTATTGTGCTTGACCATTGTATGAAGTTGTTTTGAATTCAAACCAGTACTTTACAAGTTATGATCCGGACAAGGAAAAGTATCAAAGAGCAATAACTCTATAATTTGTCAAAATGGTGTTAGTGTTCTTGTGCACTGCACTTCACCTAATTGTGCTTGACCATTGTATGAAGTTGTTTTGAATTCCAACCAGAAGTTTTCAAGTTATGCTCCTGACATGGAAAAGTAACAAAGGGCAATAACTCTGTAATTAGTCAAGATGGAGTTGCGGATGCGCAGGCTGGTCTGGATTCATGCTGGTCGCAAACCCATTATGTTGGTTTTGTCATGACGCGGCTCATATATTTACCTTGAATTGCTGTAGAGCAGTTTTACCATACAAATAATCTTCTTGTCCTACCACTTTCAGTACAAAGTCATAGGAGTTTCTTAGTGAACGGTTATGCCACTTACAGACGGCATTGTCTATGATGATATCAGGGCATTCTGTTACATGTGATTGAATCAGAAACTTTGTCTGTAAACATAAATACAAATTAATTATGATATGATCGAAATATGTATATATTTCAACCCATTTATTTCATTTTTCGCAGTATGTTTTTCAAATTAATTCTATAATTGAAAAGAGATTCCTTTTGTGAAAAATCCATTCTGTGCAAATTTGTTTGCTAACTGCACTTGTACATTGTTTCTAATTTTAGGTAATTAGTAACAACTGTTTATTCACTACAATAAAATCCAACAGAAGTCTCTGTTACAAATTAATAATTCTTCTTTGAATATAAAATGAAATACTAGTAAATATAAGAATTATACAATCTGCACCAGCTATGTTATATAATATATAATGTGTCTCTATGGTCCAATAAAAATTGACGTAACTAAAGTGAATTATTGTAAGTATTACACACCAACAGCTAAGCCAAGCATACATTATAAATACATACTGGTCATTATTAAAGCATATATTAATGTAAAATGAACTCAAAATTTACTTGTGAACCATAACTGAAACTTTTTGTTTTTTCTACAACTTTGTTGAATTTGGCACAAAGTACAATACACATTTTGATTTGATAAGCACCTGTATTGACAACATTTTAACAGGTTTTATGGCACAATATAAGCAGCTGTAAGGATATATAACCCCAGTTGCTAGGTTATATAACTTATATAGAGTACATTGTTTAAACATTGCCATAAAACCTGTCAAAAAATTTTATTACAAATATTTTTATACTGCATGATTGCTTTCTTTCTAGTTTCATTACCCTAACTACCCTAGATATCTTAAATGGACTTGTCCATCTTTTAATCTGAAGAAACACATTCATTATTTTTTGGCAATTTTAAAAAGTATTGACTGAATAGTAAAATGCAGACCATGACCAGAGGGCTTGGATATGCTTGCTGATCTTGGTCTGCGCTGGTCGTATGGTATTACTAGTTTGATGCATCAGGCAAGGGGTTAAAAAAAGAAAATAATTTATTAATGTGGAGCAGCATCAATAAACATGATATTTACATCATAATTATCCAATTAAAATCATTGTTACAGATATGCAGTGTTGTAATGTCAGTATGAAGGTGTTCAAACACTGTAAGCCTGTCAATCATGCAGGAACCGCCTGTTGTTTAATACTCAAGCTAAATAAAGCTGTGAAAACTAAAGCATTAAAACCTTGATTTGCTAGACAAGACACCTGTATATCATCTGTATAAAGTCACTAAAACAACCTTCTACCTCTACATGTATATAACAATCTAGTATGAATTAGCATTTAGAAAGTTAATAAATGAAGTATGAATCAAAGTGATGAAAGCACTATGGTATTCACGGCTTTTGAATGATGAACAAGAGCACTACATGTGGTGCTGTTAATGATTGTCTGAAAAGGCCAATCCATTTTTGACGAAAAAAATGTAAGTTAAAAAGTGGCATAACTTCAAAAAATATAGCTTTCAGAATTATGCCCCATAATTAGTGACTGCCATTTGTCAGGATAAGCAAGTATTCAAAGTTAATGTTGATATCTTTCAAAATGATTGAATAATGAATGGGCTGCTACATTTTGCACGATGATGATGGCATCAAAAACACAGCAATCGTTATAGCTCAACTTTTTCTTCAAAAACAGACCAGCTATTACTGAGTAGGCTGTATGATCCGCTATCAAATGAGAGAGTTACTAGCCAGTATTTCTATGATTTAACTACTTGTTAGTATAAAATGATAAATGCATTGTATGAATACAAGTCTATGAACCTCTGCTTTTTCTTGGGGGAAAATCTAATTACTTACCACCAGATTCTGTTCTCAAAATTAAAACAGACAAATAAAACACCTGACAATAAAAATCATTTGACCACTGGAAACATTCCACCTATAATTACTCTGTATAATTCTAATGAGAGGCGACATGGCCAAGTTAACGCGTCATACTAGTAATCTAAGGATTGCTGGCCGTGTGGGTTCAAACCCTGTCAGTTGAGTTTGCAACAAATTCTTGCAACAAATTCAGACATGCAAACTGAAATCAAAATCTGAATTTTTCCATGTACATAAAGGGATTTTTTTGGCTTGTTTTATAGCCAATATTTGGTCATATTCCCAATTGAAAATAGTACATTATTGTCCCAATCCACAGGAAAAATTCCCATTTAAAAGTTACAAAATAAAAATATTGAATTACAAATTCTAAAACTTTGAAAATAAGGGCGTCTTCATTGTTATGGTGCTTAAATGTTTGAAGATGCCATGCTCGTCGGTGATTCTTTGCATTCATGTAATCAATGCAAAATAAAGTCATGTGTTTTTCCCCAATTTATAACAAAACAGCGCTGAAATTCCCAAATCCATGGGTATAGGTCATGTTCTCAAAATCCTGGAAAAAAAACCCAGACATACACCCTGCTGAAAAAAGCCTGCATATGAAATACAAACAAAACTAACAAAATGTAAATAATAGAATTTTTTTGTATCACAATTTTTTACAGCAAATACATCAGGACAATAAGGTGAACTCACATTGGCTTCTTGTATTCGTACGGAGACGACAAGGTAACCGTTGTTCAGTTTTTTCTTCAGTTCATCCGGCAAGTGATCGCTACTACGAAGTTGTAAAGGATACCTGTTCTCAAATAATGCGTGGAAATCCTTGTGAAAAAAAAAATCAAAGCATTATTATACTTGTAAATTATAAAAGCATTTTGTAGTAATATACATGTAATATAATGAGTGAGACTAAAAAAAGTGTTGCAGCACCACAATAAATACCGTATTCTGATATATACCGGATAAGGTGGTTGAATGATTAAATGCTTAAATCTCACCATTTCAATCGCCAAAATGCACTTTAAAACATTGGATTCATCTTTTCACACTGTTTTATATACAAAAATGAATGAAAAATGTAAGAATCAGTGTAAAAATGATATTTTTCTACTTTGTTGAGTGTCTAAAGGTACTGCTTCAACACTGCAGCGAGTTAAATCCAAATTTAATAGGGTTATTACAGGGTTATCTTAACATGAAACTTCTATTTGACTTGAGTGGATTTTACTAGGATAAGACCTTTTGAAGCACAGTAGCTTAGTAAAATCCATGAGAACTCAATACAATTGATAGATCAAGATTTTCCTATAATAACTCTTTAATCATAACGCTTAAACTACATAACATAACAGCCATAACTTTTTTTTTATTTTATGCACAAACCAGCAACTTAAGTAAAACCACCTATGTTCTGTAAGCTTGCTGGATAACTTTCTCACATGGAAAAATTCAAAGTACCTGGATGTATTCAAAACAAAAGTGACGAGGGGCAAGTGGTTTAAAATCAATGGCTTTACTCACTCGGCCATAGACATCCCTTTCCACAATAGCACAATTGATTATAATGCCAACTATGTCATTTCTAATCATATCATATTAAAAAGACATATGTTAAAACAAACTCAGTGGAGTCTTTTTTAGATGAAGCAGTAAATTGACATCACAGTATATCCATGTATGGACAAGTGTATGTGACCACATGACCACAGCTCTCATTTTAGCCTTTAAATTTATGAGGATTGCGGAACATGTAGATATAACTGTCTGAAATACAATTTACAAATCAAACCAGTAATAATAACAGACCTAGAACATGTAAATAAACAGACTCTACTTACAGCTGAAAAACAATATGTCCAGATATCTATAAAGGTTTTAACATGCACGTTAATAGAATAACTTACATTTTGTGGCACTTTGCTTAGGGCAAAACTGTACATCCTTTTCCTAAAATCGTCTACCTCTACTCTTGGCATGGCATGCATTTCCATAGTAACTGAAATAATTAAAGACTACATAGATACAAACGTGGCATACACATCATATTCTCATATTCTAATATCTTTAATTTCTTTTTAATGTGATTCCAATATACATGTACCGGTTTGATTCCCCTTGTAAAATGCATTTTGAAAACAAGAATTTGTAACAGAGTTACCAACGTCCCCCGCCTCGGGGAAGTTTTATATGAAGCATAAAATTGTGCTATTTCAAAATATTGAGGTATGGATGTCAGGAATTTCATTCCAAAATTATGATCAATGCTAGATCTGCAATTGCAACAATGAATCTATTAAAGAAATACTAGTAAAATGAAACACGGAATGTAAAATTCTATCATGTTAACCTTTGACATCTAAGTGTGACCTTGACCTTGGAGGTAGGGGTGCAGGTGTTGTGCATGACATATCATCTAATTAATATTACTATTTGTGCCAAGTATTTTTAAAATCCCTTGAACTATGTAGAAGTTATAGATCAGACATAAAAATATACCCTATAACAGACTATGTCAATCTTTGACCTCTAAGTGTGACCTTGGAGGTAGGGACCCATGTTTTGCGCCTGACATATCATCTTATTATTGTTTTTATTTGTGCAAAGTATTTTTAAAATCCCAGGTCATGGACTGGACATAAAATATACCCTATTACAGAGTATGTAAATGTTTGACCTCTACGTGTGACCTTGACCCTGGAGGTAGGGACACATGTTTTATGCATGACATATCATCTTATCATTGTGACTATTTGTGCCAAGTATTTTCAAAATCCCTTGATCTAAGAAGAAGTTATAGACGGGAGTCAAAATAAACCATTTAACAGACTCTGTTAACCTTTGACCTCTAAGTGTGACCTTGACCTTGGAGGTAGGGGTGCAGGTGTTGTACCTGACATATTGTCTTATTATTGTGACTATTTGTGCCTAGTTATTTCAAAATCCTGAAGAAGTACAAAATATACCCTAAAACAGAAAACGTTATATTATGACCTCTAAGTGTGACCTTGAACTTGGGAGGCAGGGATGCAGATGTTGCGCATGACACATTGTCTTATTATAGTGACTATTTGTGGCAAGTATTTACAAAATCCTTTGATCTATAAAAAAGTTATGGACTGGACACAAAGTATACCCTGTAATAGACTATGTTAATCTTTGACCTCCAAGTTTGACCTTGACCTTGGAGGTAAGTGACAGGTTGTTGCGCATGACACATCTTCTCATTATTGTGAACAATTGTGGCAAGTATTTACAAAATCCCTTCAAAGATAAGAAAGTTATGGACCGGACACAACATACACCATCAAAAAGACAATGTTGACCTTGAATGAGCAAGTGCGACCTTGACCCTGGAGGTAGGGGTCTGGTTGTTGGGCATGACACATTGACTTATTATAACAAACATTTGTACCAAGCTATTTCAGATTCCTTTGATAAATGACAAAGTTATGGACCGGACACAAAATATACCCTGTGATAGACAATGTTAACATTTGACCTCCAAGTATGACCTTGACCTTGGAGGTAGGTGAACGGTTGTTGCGCATGACACATCGTCTCATTATTGTGAACAATTGTGGCAAGTATTTACAAAATCCCTTCAAAGATAAGAAAGTTATGGACCGGACACAACATATACCATCAAATAGACAATGTTGACCTTGAATGAGCAAGTGCGACCTTGACCTAGGGGTTAGGGGTCTGATTTTTGCGCATGACACATTGTCCTATTATAACAAACATTTGTGCCAAGTTATTTCAGATTCCTTTGATAAATGACAAAGTTATGGACCGGACAAGAAAGTGTGACGGACGGACGGACGTTCCTATGAGTGGGCATATATTGGGTATTTCTTTTGTTAAAAGTACCCAATAAGACAACAAAAGTACCCAACAATACTGACGGAATGAATAGAATTACCCAACAAGTATCCATTCGTGTGTTCAAGGTACCCAACATGTGTCCATTCGTGCGCCCGGACAGACAGACGGAGCCTATTACTATATCCCCCTTTTTTCTTCGAAAAGGCGGGGGACAAAAAGACCTAGGGTTGTCTGAGGAGCATCACATTCTTCTTTTCTTAACAATAGATAGTAATTTGCCATTTTCAAATTAAACAGATAAATTGAATACAAGGTCACATTGACCTTTAACCTTTTGTCAGTCAGAACTCATAATGGTGTATCCACATAATTATAAGGTTTCAAAGTAATTATTCATAATTAAAATTATTGACCGTAAACAAAATCATGATGTTAGAAAGATCAATTTGACCATGACCTTCAGTCAACGCGAAAGTCAAAATTTTTTTCCAGCCACAAGGACTGGGATCCTTAGATTTATTTCCGGCCCTGATGATTTTTTCCCAGCCCGAACTCTGAAAGGTATTTTTTTGTAAGGGTGGGGGAGGGATATTGCCATAATTATAAACAAAATTATGTAGCAAATATGAATAATCAGACTCAACTATAAGGTTCTATGAAAAAAATATACAGAAACATAATTAATAAAACATTAGCATAATTCACAAGAAAACGATACATCTTTCAAAGGTTTAATTTTGAAGATTGATGAAAAAATATGTTTTGGTAAGGAAATTATCCAAGACAAGATGATGGCTTACATTACTTAGCAAAAACTGGTTGTATCTTGCTGTGATTTTGGTTATCTGGGTCTGTGAATACAAGCAAAATGAAAATAAGATTGATCTTGAAAGTTTTGCCTCTTTTAGAAGCCTAAAAAGTGTTTAAAACTGGCTGAAATTTTATTCAGACATGAGGATTGACAGTATCGAAATTTATCTCGGCCCTCCTGACATTTAGTTGGCGAGGTCCGAGTACCGACAGACTTTCGCACAGACTGGACCTTTGACTTTTTGACCCAAACTGAGTATGGAAGGTAGGACTAACATAAATCTTAATGCATCCTTCCCATCCAGGTACACCTACATACAAAGTTTTAAGTTCTTTGGTCAATGCACTTTACAGTGAGACACAGACAAAATTTTCATTTCTTCGTTTTGAATTTTTCATTCATTAATCTGCAAATGTCCTCAAAATGAATACACTAGGCAGTTACAGGAACAAAACTTTTCTCCTTATAAAGAATAAAATGATGGTTTCCTAACTTGACCCATGTGGGTCAGGTTAGAGCATTAATATTTCACAATATTTGTCACAGTGAACTCTGTAAACGTTAAAAAAACATGTCAAAGGAATGACTTAGGTTTGTTTCAATCATACAATACCCACAATATCTGTTTTTGTAACTTCCAGGGTTTGTTATAGTCACATGACTAGTTATAGAAATACTCGGTGATTCTGTCGGCATCTAAATTTGGTTCAACATATATTTACCAAAATACATAAACCCAAAAATATATAGAATTTATACAGAAATTCATGCTGGGACTTTTACAAATGTCATTTTGGCGTGATTTGCGTACATAAGGTAATTTTACTATCTTTTGTCATCAATTTGCCTGAGTGTCCCTTTAATTTGATGGCATTTTAATGTTTTGTTATTACAGGTCCAGCAACCTTGGTTTGAAAATGGCTTGTCAAGAAAAACTCATTCAGGATCATCCACATTAAGTTCCAATTTAATCCCTTTGTTAAGTATTGGGGTTAATGACTATAAACAGAAGCTTAATGTTAAGGTTTACCAATGTCAACTCCACCATGTGGGTCATGTGCCATTTGGTGAATGGTATACTTAATGATCAGACATAAATAAAACAATCAGAGTAAACTTTTTATAACCCAATTAAGAGATGGGTATTTTTTTCAAATAGCCAAGCTTATAATATAAGTAACTAAATGTTACAGAAGAAACTGATAATGCACTGCCTTGAAGACACTGTTTACTTGCTGGAAAGTTAGCAATTACTGCCTACAAAACAAATGTTTCATATCAAGCCTAGATAACTGACATTTACTGCCAAGAAAGCCTACATTTGAGCCGCGCTATGACAAAACCAACACAATGGGTTTGCAACCAGCATGGATTCAGACCAGCCTGCGCATCCTCTCAGTCTGATCAGGATCCATGCTGTTCGCTACCAGTTTCTCTACTTGTTATGGGGTTTGTAAGCGATGGATCCTTATCAGACTGCGCGGATGTGCAGGCTGGTCTTGATCCATGCTGGTTGCAAATGTTGGTTTGGTCATAATGTGCCTCAATTTTAATGCCTTGAAAACTTATGCTTATAACCTAGAAAGCAAGCCTGTATTCTGGAAGACTTACGTTTACTGCCTAGAAGACTCGATATCTGTCTGTCAATTGTCTGATATCCTTCAATATCCTGTCTCTCTTGGAGGCGGAGAAACTTTCCGATTGGTCGAATGTCACTGAGGCGGAGACTTTCATCCCTAACCTCCTCCTATATTGCATAAATATCATAATTTTCATTTATTTCATTCAAGCCAGAAATTTCTACTTTCTATAAAAGTTAAGTTATATATACATCATAACAATATTTGCATCAAACTTATTTCTAGCTTAATGCAAATAACTTTATGCTGCATGTGTGTATTTTATGTTTTTGCTACATACTTATACTGTAGACTGCTGACAGGATAAAAAGCCCAGACTTTAGAAAGATAATTCAAATTTAACATTAACCATCGTAAAAGTTACTAAATTACTAGTATAACAAGTGTGCCATTGTACCAAATATTCAAAAATGTTTTTTCTTTGATCTTACTTCATAATTGATTGTCTTAATTCAAAGAGACTATCCCCTTGTTAATTTAAGGAATATCAAAATGAAAACTAAAAGTTGGTCAGCCCAAAGTATAAAGCCTGGTCAGACTGCACAACTGTAACCTGGCTCTATAACGAGAAGTTCAAATCCCCACAGGGACTTTGGATTCTCTCATGTGAGGAAGCTATCCAGCTAGCTTACGGAACGTCGGTGGTTCTACTCAGGTGCCCGTTCGTGCCTGAAATAATGCACGGAAGGGCACCTGAGGTCTTCCTCCATCAGTAAAGCTGGAACAACGCGATATGACAAATACTGTGTCGATGTGACATAAAAAACCCAAAACAAACAAACTATAACGAGAACAAAGTTTAATCAATTTTCATTCCAGCATGGTAAAACCTAAAAGGTAAATCTGTAAGTGTTAATAAGTAAGATCATTACCTTTTCTCCATTTCTATTGAGGAATTCAAAGAAGTAGTTATCTTTTCCTTTTAATCTCTCAAACAACGGATAGTTCTGTGCTGACTTCCACAAAGCCTAAAATTCACAAGAAGTAATAATTGTAGATATTTTAAAATCATATTAATTTAATCAGTGCAACAAAATACAATGTCATGCACAAGACTTCAAAATATACCTTGGTACTGAATCCTTAAACTGTGATATTCTCTTAATGTTAACCCATAACAACTATTTCAAGCACCACAACCTTGCCCATTTACAAACATCTTTTCTTTTTCAAATACAACAAAAGGGCCATGATGGCCCTGAAGTCGCTCACCTGTATATAGGCCCCCGAAGAGGGGCCAGTTTAAACCCCGGGGCTTTTATTTGAACAAACTTGGTAGACAACCACTAGAATATGTTTCATGCTAAACATCTAAGGTCTAGCTCGTTGGGTTTTTTAAAAGAAGATTTTTTAAGTTTTTCCTTTACACATATAGTTAAAAACAATGACACACCTGGGGCAGGGCCATTTTTGACCCCAGGGCTTTTATTTGAACAATCTATGTAGACACTAATATCCAAACTCTAGCTATTCGGGTTTTTTCAAAGAAGATTTTTAAGTTTTTGCTTCACACATATAAGGAAAATCAATTTCCCCCGGGGCGGGGCCAATTTTGACCCCAGGGCTTTAATTTGAACAAACTTTGTAGACACTCACTAGAAGATGCTTCGTGCTTTATATCTTAAATCTAGCCATTTCAGTTTTTCAAAGAAGATTTTGAAGTTTTTGCTTATAATACACATATACGGAAAATGATTGACCCCCGGGGCGGGGCCAATTTTGACCCCAGGGCTTTTATTTGAACAACTTTGTAGACACTCACTAGAAGATGTTTCATGCTTAGTATCTAAACTCTAGTTATTTGGTTTTTCCAAAGAAAATTTTTAAAGCTTTTTTTACACAAATAAGAAAAATCAATGACCCCCAATTTTGACCCCAGGGCTTTTATTTGAACAAACTTGGTAGACACTCACCAGAAGATGTTTCATGCCAAAAATCTAAGCTCTAGCTCTTTGGGTTTTTTAGAAGAAGATATTCAAAGTTTTTTTGTTTTGGTTTCCATGGCAACCAGAGTTCTGCATGGAATTAAATTTTGAACAATTTTCAAAGGTGACCACCAAAGGAACATTCCTGTGAAGTTTGCATGCAATTGGCTTAGTGGTTTACGGACAACAGACGGATGATGGACGGATGATGGATGGACGGACGCCGGACTAAAAGCAATCACAAAAGCTCACCCTGTCACTTTGTAACAGGTGAGCTAAAAAATGAAATTAATGTAATGGTCAAAAAGGACTTTTCAAGTTTTACTGGCAGATGAAATCCTTAGATTGCCTAGTCTATGTTCATTGGTGGAAGAAAGATTTGGTTCCCCTCCATTTGTTTTTCTTTCAGGCATTTGCAAGTATTAGAGAATAATCACTGAGTCATTCATTTAGCTATCTTTGACAGCTTGGAACAATATGATGTCTTTGATGAGATTCAAACCATATACTAGTATATGGAAAAATAAGTTAAGTTATAAATGAAAATATCATGGTATAAATCTGTTCACTAGTTAGGGAAGAAAATATGTTAGTGACTAGCCAGCTTAGTTGGTAGAGCTGCGATACCATTTACTAAGGTTCCCTGGTTTGAGCCTCAGTCAGGCTGCACATTTTTCTCTCCTGTGACATTTAGTGCCCAGAATTGGGCAGTGATGATATATAGTTCCTTGTCAATATATATTGATCTCTGCACCCATTAAAACTTTGCCGAAGAATTTTAATGTAGTGATTGCATATGTTACAGTATAAAATACTAATAAGGGGAGGAAATTTGTAAGGGGCCGGATAGCTCTGGCCGTAGAACCACAGTACAGAATTCTGAGGTTCCCTGGTTCAAGTCTTGGTCAGACTGCACATTATTCTCACTATGTGACATGTACATTATTGCCACAGATATTGTTTTTGCCACAGCTGCATAAAGTTAATAATTCTTACTTTTTGCATCCTGTATCACAACAAAATAAAGTACATACCTACTGAAATAAGATTTTTATCATATATTGAAACTGAAACAAAAAGCTTCATTGTTAAATGTGGCTGGTAGGTCATTGATGCAACAGCTATAAAGTGAAGTAGTTAGATACGATACAAAGTTAACACTTGACAAAGAATGCTTCATATTTTCTAAGTTTATCTTATAGGTTTAAGTACTAGGAATCTGAAGGGCTTGTCAGAAATATAACATTTAACACTTCATAGCAGGCTTATCAAAAGAGGGAACAAATATTGTCACAGTGGCTTTTGTTAACTGAAACTCCATATTGGCAAAACTGAATTTTAAACAGCTTCCTTTTTAAATTTATGTAATGATGTTGCCTTGCTTTAATTTGGAAACCATCTATAATTTGCTTATTTTTTATGCAATATTACAGCAGCCTCAAGATTTTCTAAAGGTTAAATATGTTATTCTAAGATAAATCGTTTCATATTATTGTCAAATCAAAAGAATTAAGGTGGAGAATCAAATTTGTTGACAATAAAATACATAAACAATAAGGAAACTCCTTGATACCTCTAATCTACCGGTCGGCTCTCTTTATTAGTAAAGCAGATGATTTGTATCTCGATTTTCTATTTTTAGAAATGAATGTCCCTGACATGTTATCAATAGCTCTAGGGACACTGTTTCAGGAAGGTTTAACAGTGCTATAATGTACTTTTCAAGATATAAATACTGAAATTCTTAGTTTCCCTATCTTCTATTTTTTGACGTGTTATAAATAGCTCTAGGGACACTGTTGATATAAATACTGAAATTTTTAGTTTCAAAGAACACAGACTTGTTTTTCTAACAGAATATAAAAGCCAAAGCCTGCTTTAAATACGTATGATTATCAAAATTGGAAAGGAAACAGTTTCAAAACTGGTATGGATCTACATGTGCATATGTGCAAGCTGGTCATGAGTGGATTTTTTTTTTGCATCATTTTCACACAAAAAACATAAGCAATATCCTGACAACATCCCCACCCCCACTTCTCTTTCCGAGCATGGCTAAGTATCAAATACATGTTCATGTAAACTTCACTTCTTAAGCTTAAACCAATAGTGACCCATTTTGAGTGCTTAATCTAGTTATCTAAGTTACTATATGTTTGTAAATTAAGGATGATACGCAAAAGAAAGTATCCTTTAAACAAAATAATTATGTACCTCTGAACATACAAAAATTGTTTTATATAATTATATACTGTGCTCCTCTTAGTTCACGGTACTTAACACTTTGAAGCAAGAAAGGAAACAACAAATAAAACTTATGGTACAAAAATTATCATAACCTGTAACATATAGGTATTTTCTGCTGTATGACACAAGGAAACAACAATATATTTGGTCAAAATTAGTTTAAATGAGCCAGACGTAGACCATATGTCGGCCATTTTGAAAACAGTATGTCAACATTTAAGTCGCGGTAATGGTGTTTTATTTTAGTTTTTACATGTTTTAGTTAAATTTTTTACATGTTATTTTGCATAATTTTAAATATTAAAAGTATCTTTACATTGTAGCTCAAAATTTATTTTTTCAAAAAACAAGAACATTTTGAAAATGATGATTGTTTCAGAGGTATGCACAAATTTAAGGGACTATTGTTGTTTTTTTGCAAAATTTTGTAAAATGTTGTTCTGTTTTACGTAAATATCTATAGATTTAAAATATTTTGCAGAAAACTTTGTTGTTTAGGTGTTTGAATAAAATATGTCAATTCTGACCAATTTTAACACTGGTTACATAAAAATAAGCTATTACCATGAAATAAGTGATGACGCGGAATTGGTGATGTTGAGTATAATTATATAATAAGTTGTTTTTACCTTAAAAATAAATTTGCTTTCAAAATAAAACATATTTCATTTCATTGCAGAACATTTATCAATAATTTCTTCGTAAAATCTCCCTTTATCTTTATTTGCCAAAATTGTTAAATTTGACCTTATGTAACTATGTCCTAACCTATTATATTGGTAATTCTTCATTTGAGCAAGAAGTTTATTACACGTACATATATTTAGAGATGAACAACGACTTTTACATACAGCCTGCTTGCAGTAAAACAGATTCTACCCCTGTGACCAGTGCAGACCGAGGTTGACCCACAAATCCATGCAGTCTAATCATTGTCTGCACTGTTCCCTATTTCAGTAAGTACATATTTTTTCTACTAAAAATGATGATCGGCATTTTCCAGACTGAAAGATTGACAAGTCCATTTAAGATATAAATTAGCATAATAAGAATTAATCAATTCACCAAACAATTCAGCAAACATTTTGGTGATTGTAAATTTCCATCCTTATATATCATGGAAAGGCAAACCTGTTTAAGTAGATCTAGTGGTTTATTGAAGTCAACATTCTGCTGTAAAAACATCCCGTTAGGAAGTAGGAAGTCAATCTGAACTCTCCCATCAGATACCTGTAAACAACATACAAAATGTTCAGTTGTGGTGAGGCTGTGCAGTTCATGCCTCAGACTGGTAATCTACCGGTAAGTATGGCTGACCATGCGAGTTCAAACCATGTTGGATGCAAGGCTTTCATTCTTATATCAGACGCAAGGCATTGTTTCTTTAGGCAAGAAACTTCAAACTGTACATTGCTCTATACTGGTTTATTCCAGGAACAGATTCAAGAGTGTGTCTATAAGCTTATTGCTTCCTGTACAATCAAACTTAAAATGAATTCTGTATAAACAAAAATGTTGTCAATTTATGACTGTCAAACACATGTGTACAAACATTACTTATAAGCCATATCATGACAATTATTAAAGGAACTCCACAGAGGTCAAAAAACCTAAAAACATAAATTTTTACATTGTTCAACTGGGATGCTTCAAATGGAAAAATATGTAAAAGGTATCATGCATATGTTTTACATTTCACTGTTGTAATATTTTTCTGGTCATAGTCCTACCAAATCATTGATTCCAACACTTGTAAGTGTTGAAAATTGAGTACCACTCAAGCCAGTGCTAGGGGGCTTGAGGGATGTTGCATTTTTTCATTATCCCCCATGTACAGATTCAATCAAACTGAGTCTGCAATTTTCATATAATTTTGTTGTGATTAATGCTTCCAAGGAATCACATTTATCCAGATTTTTATATATTTATACATTACATGCATAATTGTGTTCATGTATTTCTTTTAAAATTCTAAAATGTAGGACATAAATATTAATAAAGACATCACAAGTCATATTTTCAATATGTAAATGTACTTTACAGTGGCATTATTTACATACATTTGTATTTATCAATTAAAGCCTTCGAAAAAGGAATGTGTTTTCCTGTGACGAGTTGTTTTTCCTCTACTTAAGTTTCAAATACAGAGAATTTGATCAACAGGGTTAAGTACTTGTACACAAAAATAAACACTTGTTAACAGTAAATAAAATTCTGTTAAAAAAAAAAAACAGAAACAAGTGACAGGAAAATGTCACAAAGCGTCAATATTTTATATATGTTAAAAAAGTTTAATAATAATTAATTCTGCTAAATATGCTCAAATCACAAAATCCCATCAATATTACTGTATATAGGCACTGGTTCAATCATTCTGTAAAACTTTGCCAGAAATCCCTTCAAAAATGCAGGAATTAACATAGATGAAATTGTCTACTACCCAGACACCAGTCCAACAGCCAGCCATCATTCACTAAAGTTGATAACCAGAATTGACGGGTCCAAACTTAAAATTTTCTATGTTTACCCTCCAGTGACCCATGCCAGTTTGGGTAGGGTAGGTAGGGTATGTTTTTTTTTGTTTAAAAATTTTTTTGAGTCTCAGTGATTTTTGTGCGTATGTAGCGGAAGGGGAAACAAACAATATTTTATACATACCTCTTCCGAGATATCTGGAATACATACAATACTGGTAGGAGGCATACTTCAATGTTTAGTTGTCCAAACAGTTCCCGTCATTGTTCATTTCTTCTAGTCTTGCACTGTAAATAAGATAATTAAATAATAATCAGTAATTCCATAACTCATACATACATACTATACATTAAAGAAACAAAAAGGTCGCTGGTTTGAATTGGGGAAAAAATAATTTTGGAAAATTTGAGAAATTTTAAAATGGTGAAAAATTACTGCACACCATTGTTGATCGCCATGGGTACTCAGCTTCCCTTATATATGTCTTACTACACATGTATGCTCACTTCATTTTTTTCTTTAGTTAATATTAAAGACTTTATAAGATTAAAACATTTAGGTAACTAATTGAATTATATTGTAATGTCCTATACATCCTGTTTAGTTAATTTTTTTGTCACCGTTGAGACAAACTAATCTTACTCTACAGTTACACAGATAACATTTTACATCCTTAACTCTTTCACTACTTATGACAATAATAACTTGCCTATCTTGCTAATTCAACTGGAGCAGTTTAAACGGAAAAATATTAAATATAATGTACATAGTAAAAGATACATGTTCTTCACCAACACATAATTTGGCAGTTAGATTAACAAAAAAAGAAATATTCTTAGAACTGAATTGAAAATCAACAGTTATTGCCATTCTTTCCCCAATTTGAGTTAAAAGCGTTACAATGCTTTCATTTTTAGGTCATTTTACACAATAAAAATGATTATTCTGGGGAAAAAAAACGAGCATCCGCGCAGTCTGATCAGGATCCATGCTGTTCGCTATCAATTTTGTTACTTGTAATAGGGTTGGTAAGCGAACAGCATGGATCCTGATCAGACTGAGCGGATGCGCAGGCTGGTCTGGATCCATGCTGGTTGCAAACGCATTATGTTGGTTTTGTCGTGACACGGCTCATATATATTTTCTTTCTGTCAAGTCATATTTGTGCATTGTGATGTTAAAATAATCTGCAGTAAACATGGCAAAATTATGTAAAGGTATTATAATACATTTTCATATCTAAATCTTCTATCTATTCATGTTTTCACTTTAAACTCATGTTCTCACCTTAAACTATCAGGTTTTTCTCTCTACTACAATTACAAGAAACAAGATACAATCTTTGTGTATAATTTGTCTATTTTCATTTTATAGTTTATTAAAGGGACTCGACTGAAAATCTTTGACATCACAGGACAGGAAATATATCTTTTGATGTAGGCCTGATGCAATACCTTTTATGTAAAATTTCAGATCATTTGCTGTGTTCTTTTTTCTAGAATATTTTTAATTGCTAAAACAAAGACTCAAAAATAAGAAGCATTTGAACACTTTAAACTCAAATCATGTTAAAAAAATTGCACAAAATAAAATTTTTTAATTTAATTCATAATGTGAGTATATGCTATCACTTGCTTATACATATGCACCAGTTGATCCAAATTTTATGTTTTTAGCCTTTTGGACATCAGAGGAGTTACTTTTAATAATCTATTTCATACACAAGTAAATCAAGTCAAAATCTAGAGGTCTAATTCTATGAAAATATACCTTTATTCAGCTGACAATTTTAAAATATGAATCATAATATTAATGAAATAGGACTGTCATGCTTTTTATTAATGACATCCAAAATGCAAAAGTATATACACTTGTCATTGATAAATAATGTGCAATGGAACTGCCTAGTTTTGAATTCAAATCGTCCGTTTTCATTTTCAATGGTTTCAATGATAAAGCAAACAACAGACAGTAAAATTTGGTACAAAGTCAGTCCAACACATAGCAACCTTTTAAAATAAGAAACATATATAACAACATTATTTGCCTACGTACAATTATAAGGAGGCATATGAAAGGCTTCTTCCCAATAGATATTTTCTGTAATTAAATCATGTTTTCCTTATTCCTAATGATCTGTCTAAAAATAGCTTTTTAATACTTCCCAAATAAGCAATTACAGTGTATTATGATAAAATTTCCTAATATTGAGAGGCTAATTAAGGCCTCTTCCCAATTAATTATACATTTGTACCAATATGGAACTAAAATTATCACACAGCTGTTTCATTGTAGCAAATGATACTGGTTTTGTTTTGATAGGGGTTTTACGTCACACTGACACAGTATAGGTCATTTGGTGACATTCCAGCTTTGGAGGAGGAAGACCTCAGGTACCCTTCTGTGCATTATTTCAGGCCCAAATGAGCACCTGAGTAGAACCATCGATGTTCCGTAAGCTAGCCAAATAGCTTCCTTACATGAAAGAATCCAAAGTCCCTATAGGGATTCAAACCCAAAGCTGTGAGAGGCAAGTGTTTAAATGTTACTGGTAACTGGTAAGTACACTTAAAGAACTCTTATCAACTTTCCAAAATGGTAACAAACATTTTAAACACAATAAAAAGACGCTATATAAACATAAATCTTGTACATAATTGTACATTATTAAAGATGTTTGACCAAAGTCTGTAAACAGACACATAACATTTAAGAGGAAATATTTTTATTCTGATCGTTTAACCCTGACAATGCCTAAATATTTAAATGGACTTGTCCATCTTTCAACCTGGACAAAACCATTCACAAATTTTAGGGAAAATTTCACTATATACTGACCAAATAACAAACAGTACAGAACATGATCATGTCTGATCTTGGTCTGCATTGGTCAAACAGGTAAATTCAGATGCTATTTAGTAAAAATTTAATACTAAGGTGGTCTTTAAATCAATGTTTTTTTTCAACACAGGTTCAACTGTCATTAAATACAAGAAACATGGCAATGCCATGAAACCAGGTTTTCAATTATCACCATTGTAGATAAATATGTTGTATTTGAGATACAAATACAAGCAACAAACAATGTAACTATGTGTAATGTAAAACATGAATAATGTAGGAGGAATTGCCGCTGAAGAAGTCTTCACTACATATTCTGTATAAGGAAAAAAACAAAGGGCCATAATTAGGTCAAAAATTATCCAATCACAAAACCCCGACAATATGTGCCAGGGCGCTTGGTGACAAAGCTTCTGTGAAAGTTTGAACAAAATCTGTTGAGAAATGTAGGATGAGTTCAGCACAGAAGAATTTGTTCACTATACATGTATATTGATAATTCTGTATAAGGAAAAAAAACAAAGGGCCATAATTAGGTCAAATATTATCCAATCACAAAACCCAGACAATATGCGCCAGGGCACTTGATAACAAAGCTTCTGTGAAAGTTTGGTCAAAATCATTCGAGAAATGTAGGAGAAGTTGCGCACGATAGAAATTGTTCACGATATATTCTGTATAAGGAAAAAAAAAAGGGCCATAATTAGGTCAAATATTATCCAATCACAAAAACCTGACAATATGCGCCAGGGCACATGATGACAAAGCTTCTGTGAAAGTTTGAACAAAATCCCTTGAGAATTGTAGAGGGAGTTCAGCACAGAAGAAATTGTTCACTATATATTCTATATAAGGAAAAAAACAAAGGGCAATAATTAGGTCAAATATTATCCAATCCCAAAACCCCGACAATACGCCCCAGGGCACTTGGTGACAAAGGTTCTGTGAAAGTTTGGTCAAAATCCGTGGAGAAAAGTAGGAGGAGTTGTGCACAGAAGAAATTGTTCACTATATATTCTTTATAAGGAAAAAAATAAAGGGCCGTAATTAGGTCAAATATTATCCAATGGCAAAACCCCGACAATATGCCCCAGGGCACTTGATGACAAAGCTTCTGTGAAAGTTTGGTCAAAATCCGTGGAGAAATGTAAAAGGAGTTGAGCACAGAAGAAATTGTTCACTATATATTCTATATAAGGAAAAAAAACAAAGGGCCATAATTAGGTCAAATATTATCCAATCGCAAAACCCCGACAACATGCGCCAGGGCACTTGATGACAAAGCTTCTGTGAAAGTTTGGTCAAAATCCGTTGAGAAATGTAGAAGGAGTTGCGCACAGAAGAAATTGTTTACGCCCGCCCGCCCGTCCGCCCGCCCGCCGACATACCTCAATCTAATAACCAGTTTTTTCCTTCGGAAAACCTGGTTAAGTCAGCCCGCCTGCCCATCCGCCCGCCCGCCGACATACCTCAATCTAATAACCAGTTTTTTCCTTCGGAAAACCTGGTTAAAAAACAATGTAAAGAAAAAATTGTTTTAATATCTGTTAATAAATCCAATATGATTCACGAAAACTTTCAACTGCATTCAGTTAAGACAATTTTTTATATTTTCAAAATAACAGATCTAATTATTAATCCTGTATGCATCATACAGCTTATCATCCTCAACACAATGAAGGGGAAGTTACTAAAATTTCCGCATTTCCATCTTTTACCCTGTATTATGACTGTAAACCATCTGTCTATATACTTACTGTATTAAACTTATTGATAATCCCAAAATATTTTTTTTATATAAAATTATGTACATGTAGACATTTTCTAATTTATTCACTGTTTTACATTCTCTTATATAACATAAACTGGTATCTAACATTGCAGTACAATAGGCTGTACGGAGTACAACATTGTTTACTTTATTTGTACATGTCATTTTATAAATGCAGGAAGTTAAACAAGTGGGCAGTTTATCTGGCTATCACTTCACAAAATCTCACAGAAAAAAGTAGTCAAACCGTTTAAGGAAGTAAAGTAAACTATGCTGCTGTATTAATACAGACTTGGTTGCAAGTGTACAAATAAGTTTATAAATAAGTGTATGAAAAGGTTAATGAATACAAGTTTATTAAAAAGTGAATGAAAAAGGTTATCAATACAAGTTTATGAATAAGTATATGAATAGATTTATGAATACAAGTTCATGAATACAAGTTTATGAATATAAGTTTATGAATATAAGTTTACACATAAGTTTAGGAATATAAGTTTACAAATAAGGTTATCCATATAAGTTTTTAAATATAAGTTAATGAATAATTTTATAAACAAGACATTAAAAATAACAACAACTTCCATTTGTCCAATGGATACAAGTAGGTAGACCCTCTAATGTTGGTCGCTGATTTATATTTTGAAATAAACAGTCAAATCTTGAGTAAAGAAC